TTGTGATTTCATCATAGACAAAGATAAATGGCATTAAAATCAGTCAAATTCTTTTTGTCAAAGATTACGACTTTTTTATTAATTAAAAAAATATATTTTCCTTAACTCACTAATCTCTAATCGTTGTTCGAAAACCTGTTACGCTCAACAGTTTTGAAGACGAGACAATATGATCTCTTATTATTTAAACATTCTGTTTATCTACGGACTACTCATAGAGATATTTAAAGTTAAGTACATATGACCCGGTCTCAGACGCAAGGATAAATTGGATAAAGGCGTTAAAAGAAGAAGTCGGCACTAGACGTGGTTGATGAATAGTTTTGCCAGAAAAATCATTACGCAAAGAAAATACTAATCAGTTAATTAATACGAAAATAAACAAATATTCCATTAACAGAAATGAACAGATTAGAAAATAAAAAAAATGTTTATGTTATCGGTCAGTTTCATTCATCAATGTTTTCATTACATAAATGTATGATGTGAAACCTCAGAATTCATCTAAGGTAATTTATTTTAAATATAAACGATGATTGCAAACCTACAGACATGTATAATTTATTAAACTTCTTCTTGAAATGTTAATTAAACAGCATTGGAAAACACGATGTTCTCTTTGACAGTTCTGACGGCCATTCGTCAATTTGGCGCGCTATTGAGAAAATACAGCATAAAAAACCATAAATTCAAATAAATAAAACAACCATCACATCATATCAACGGCCTTTGTCTGAAAAGTCCAATGCTGGACCTAGGCCTCTCCTTAGAAAGGAGGTTTTGACCTTACGGGTTGGTATAGGGTTTGTGTCAAGTTTTTCTTCTCTTTGCAGTGCTGTGTTGTCCTGCGTAGTTTTCTCGCTTAGTCGGCTCTTACGACACCCACACGGGTGGTGATACCCCGTATTCTTAATCCGCCACCAGATGAAAAAAAAACAGTGCTACATTTTTTTTTTTTTTGTCATAATCACACAAACCCATCAAGTCCTAAACTAAGCGGAGCTTGTACTGTGGGTACTAGACAACTGATATAAATAAAATTTAAATACTTTTTTTTTGTAAATACATACATACATATTATACATAGAAACACCAAATCAAAAATTACATGTTCATGCACACAAAATGTTTGACTTGAGCGGGAATCGAACCCGCGACCTTTGGAATTGCAGTCCGTTACACAAACCACTACGCCATCCGGTCGTCAAAGCAACATTTTTTTAATTTTAAATTGAACAGATTTTATTTAAATTGCAGAGCGCTGAGTTTAGTATAGCAAAAACATCCAATTCCATGAGTTAAGCACATGCAGGGGATTAGTGCACAAATAACTGCACATTTGGTCCAGTGCCAGATCTTTAACACCACAAATTGATAAGCTCAGGTCAATATCGGTGAATGAGACGTTTTGAGCCGATAACGCCCATGCTATACTACGATGCATTCCTTTTCGATAGCCTGTATTACAGATGGTGTATTTATAGTACCCACTTCGCTGAAACGACTAACAGCTACGAGTACCAGAGAGCATATTTATTTACAGATCACTTTCGCTGCGCAGACATCTACGTATGCCGCTCTTTTAGGAGCGTACTTAGAGAGTTCAAGTATCTTTAAAAAAAAATTCAACTCAAAAGTGATTTTAAATATGCACGTTTTTAAATAACTCGTGAGTTTTCATGACAATTTCAAACATTTTGTTTGTGGACATTAAATACCCATAATTTAATTCATGTTCGAGTTCATTTTGAAATTCAAAATGAACTCGTAAAGTTTGTCAATTTCAAAACAATATCTCTGTATTAAAATATCGTGTGTGCGTTAATTTGAAAATTGAACAGATCAGGAAAAGCAAATCTTTGTGACAATTTGATCTCAATACCTAAAAAAATTGCTTTAGAGCAAGGGGGTAATTAAACATATCGACCACATTGGAATCGGTTCAGCATTTACAAGATAACATTCAGAGTAGATGATAGTGATGTTGTGTCCTGGTAATCTTCAAGTTGATCACAATTTTTTAGTTCATTTTGTTAGGGTAATAATTTTGAAGGAGTAAAAACTATGCCTGATATCAATGTAGTGTATTTAATTTCCGTGTGTTGATGGATTAAGAATACAGAGTGTCACCACCCCTATTCATCCCGTGGGTGTCGTAAGAGGCGACTAAGGAAGTAAACTACGCAGGACAACAGCACTGCAAAGAGAAGGAAAACTTGAAACAAACCCTTTTTTTTTTTTTTAACGTGTGGAAATCCCCTCGGATCGTCACCCCTCCGGGGTTTGCGGCGGGGTGGTGTGTCGGACTCGGACCGACTAAAACCACACGTTGTGCCACTCTGCGCCTGTAACAGGAGGGATCCGGGAACAGCTGTTATTAAGACATCCGGACCCCTCCTAGCGCCGGCCCGCTCCTGTTGCGGGCCCCGTCTCAAAATTTAGGCCCTCTCTTTAGGCGACGTCCGGCACACGCGGACGCCGCCCCCTCGCGGCTGGCCAAACTAATGCGGGTGGAGGGGAAACCCACCCCGTCCACCCGCGGCCACACTCAGGGCGGCATGAGGCTGTGGTAGGCGGGCCTCCGCCGCCCGGTTCGCCGGCGGCGGATCGGGTCCGAGTGGAGGTCGTCCTCCCGGGCCTTCTCCACCACCTCCTTCTGCGAGATTACTTCCTCGCAGAAGGTTGCGACCGCGGTAAAACAACTGTCGCTACCGGCCATGGAGCGTACTACGGCCGGTAGCGAGAGATCCACTCCGATGACTGCAGTGAGGGCCCGGCGCTGCGTCGCCCATGCGGGGCAGACCGCTAGCGTGTGCTGGGCCGAGTCCTCACTGCAGTCGCAGTGGTGGCAGGCGGGACTCAGTTCCCTCCTAGCGACCGAGTGCAGGTACTTTCCGAAGCAACCGTGCCCGGAAAGCACCTGCGTCAGCCGGAAGGAAAGGGTCCCGTGCTGCCGCCCTGCCCACTCGGCGATGACCGGCTGGAGAGCCTCCACGGCGGCGAAGCCAGCGCGTGGAGTCTCCAGCCGGAACGACCAACGAGCCATCGTGGCTCGGCGAGCGGCTTCGCGCCACTCGCGCACATCCTCGGGCGGAGGGCGAAATCCGCTCTCCGCTCGGGAGTCAGCCACTCGCCGATAAACTTCGGCGAGCACTTCCGCCTCCAAATCCCACGGGGGAGTTCCGGCCAACGCGCATGCCACCTCCGTCGAAACGGTGCGGTAACCGCGTATGGCTCTGACCGCCATTACCCTCTGAGGGCGCCAGAGGCGTGCCCTATTCTGGGTGGTCAGAGCCGCTATTTTAGCCGAGACACCCAGCCCGGGGGGGAAATCGGCGCGAAGGGCCCAGTCGTACCCTATGTTCCACAAGAGGGGTCCAAGAACAGACCCCTGTGGAACACCGCACGACATGGGCCGACACCTCAAATTACCCTCTCGGTCCTCGTACACGACGGTACGCTCCTCTAAATAGTCTGCCACTAGCCGCCTCAGGTACTTTGGCACCCCATGATAGTGGAGTGCTTCCCTGATGCAGCTGAATGGCAGACTATTGAATGCGTTGGCGATGTCTAATGACACCGCCAACAGCACGCCGCCACAGCTCACGGCCTCTTCGGTCACGGCCCTCAGGCGCAACATGGCGTCGATTGTCGAACGCCCCGCCCGAAAACCAAATTGGGCGTCCGACAGATCGGGGCCCACCTCGTAGAGGTGCCGGACGATGCGGGTAGAAAGAACCCTCTCAAACAATTTACCCGCCTCGTCCAGCAGCATTGAAACAAACCCTATACCAACCCGTCTGGCCAGAGTGGTATAGTAGGCCAAAACCTCCTTTCTAAGGAGAGGCCTATGTCCAGCAGTGGACTAGTAATTAATCTAAATGATATAAAAATATTAAGTTGGTTTGTGTACGCTTAAAAAACTCAAAAAGTTCTGCACTGATTGAGGTCAAATTTTGACACGATATACATTACGCTTCAAAGATCGTTTTTATCTATTTTTGTTACAACAAAGCACGGCAGGGTACAGCTTGTAAATTATAAATGTCGGTTTTACAAGCAATACCTTGGGTTTCTTGTGTACCTTTTTTTTTCCTGTGCGGAACTCCCTTCGGATACCGCCCACCAGTGATTACGTCGGACTCAAACCGACCAAAAACCGCACGCACCGTCTCCGTAACCTTAGAAATGAAAGCCCTGGTACCCCGACGTACCTCAGGCCATCTACGGCTTATAGATGACCCCTTCTGCGTAGGAACCCAGATGTTCCCTCCTGCTCCGAAGGGCGAGCGCGCTACGTAGCTCGTCAAGACACCACCCACCGCGCCCTGCCTCTGCTAGAGTGACAGATGGCGTCACCTGTCTCCCTCAGGCCTGCGCTTATAGAACTTATCTTCCATAAGCACCTGAGCCGTCTGCGGTACCTGGCCCGTTCTCAGGCTTGGCGAGTTGGGAGGGTTCCGAACTTCTCCTAGTCTCGCTCCGCCATCTCCTTCGAAAGCATAACCTGCTCGCAGAAGGAAACGGCGGGGTTGTTGCGTACCTATAAATAATGAAATGGTTTTTAATAAAAAATAATCTCACCCATAAACACGTCATCTGTTTGGTCTGATCTTGGTTAAATTCTTTTGCCAGAACCGAAGTAAACATAAAATTAAGAGTCTCAATGTATTTGTCTTAATTTTTATTTAAAATATAAATACTTTAAACAAAGTAAATGAACTAATAATAATATATCTAACACGTTATTGTTCGACAAAATTACATAATAAGAAAACATTAACAAAAAGGTATTTTTTTATTAGATGATAAAGATTTTCTCAGCAAGAGAACTTCAATGCACAAAGAATACGAACACGAATGGCTGGCGACGCGTTTGTGACTCCTGAGTTGAAGGCGTCCATCGGCGGCGGTAGTCGCTTTCCGTCTGCTTGATTGCCCCCTATTCCATAAAAAAACGAACATGGAAAAATTTGTAAAATTGAATTAATTAAAGCATTCTAAGATCTAGGCTCATTTTTACTTTCTTTGTCCTTTGGATTTGAAGAAATCAGATCGCTCCCTGAACTGAGGGCATTTTTAGCTTCACTTTTAGCTGTTTCCTCAGTATCTTCATCGTTATTTTCACTAACGGTCTTAGATGAAGTAGGTTTTTCATCATCGTACTTGATTGGTACAAACGGTTTTCTCCTTTTTAGTTTAGACGTGGACGTATCCTTTGATGTGCTTGGAATTTCAGCGTTTTCATCGTCATTTGCGGTATTAGTGGTTGATGAAATGCGAGTAACCTCGTCAACTTCAGATGATATAACTTTAGAAGAAACAGGTCGTAAATTGTTATTTGCATATTTGTTAGTAAGGGGTAATTCTTCACTAGGAACTTTAAGTTCCTCTTGTGGTATATCAGCGTCGGGGACCGTTTCAATTTCAGTAATTTGAAATTGCTGCTGGTGGGATTCACCTACGTCAGATTGGCTGTTTATTATAGTCGGTATCATTGCAATATCAGCGTCCTCTGTCTCTTGCATGCTTGTTCGTGAATGCGGCTTACGTCTGTCTTGAAAAGTTCCGTCGGAAAGGCGCTGATTTTCTAGCGATTTCCTGTCAGTTAGAGTTATATTTTGTACCTTGTCTTGATCTATTGATGATTTATTGTTTAATTTTTCATTACTATTATTAACATCTTTGTCATATACTGGTTCACTTATTGGCAAAGGTTCAATATCAGCATCAGTTTCCTGTGTAACTTGACTGTGCGACGATGTGCGAATTTGTGAATTACGGATTGTATTATTTTCAGGTTCAGAACTGACTGGCATATTTAAATTGTTTTGACTACTTGCATCCTCTTTGAGACCTTCTTTGGATTTGTCTGGTATGTCTTCAATATCGGCATCATTTTCTTGTATTACTTCAGTCATCCAATCTGGCGCAGCTTCTGCAATATATGAAGAAACTTGATATGGTAGCTCCTCAACCTTTTCATCAACTTTACTATTATCTGTTTCTTGAATATTAGGGTTTAATTGCTTTTCCAATTCTTCAAAATTGTGAACAATTTGAGTATTTTCTTTTGTTTCTGACTTGTCTATCGATGTGATGTTATCATCGTTTTCATCTTTGGGCTTACTATCAATGTCAAGAGAGGTGCCGATACTCGGGGTAGCATTAACATCTCGAGAAAGGTTTGTCATCTGAGAACTTTCTGATGACTCTATGTTTTTATGAGTGATAGTGTGTGCTTGTTCATCCCGAATTTGAAGCGGTCTCGGCAATAATGTTGCAGAGTGAGGTTCTTCTGTTGAATCTTCAATAAAGCTACTTTTATCTAGAGAGATTACATATTTTTCAGTGTCTTCTTCTTCTTCTTCTTCTTTTGGAAATGTGTTTACCCGTTTATTAGATCTATATCGATTTTTCTTTTCCATTTCTCCTATCAACCGTCTGGCCTCATCTAATTGCTTTAAAAGAGCCTGTGTCGCTTCCTCTTCTGCCTCCGTCTCTTCCCGAGTTAGGTCCATACCAGAATACCTACCCATTAACTTTTTTAAAATGTTCGAAATTGTTTTTAGTATTCCAACATAATGCTTTTCCTTGCTCTTGAACTCGTTTGATTCAGGAACTAGCACGCTTGTTGTCTTGTCTTCGTTTGGACCACCGAGGAGGCTGGGAGTTAAACTTTCTGTAGTCATTCTACGAATAGATTTACGCGTTTTAGCCTCATCAGTGTTCGGCATATCTTTTGATAAATATGAAGAACTGGATTCCGTTGAATTTTGACGTGCATTTTGTCCTGAAGGTCCCGCTTCAAACATGCGTCTATTATCGTAAGGGAAAAAATTGGGTAAATTGGATACACCTGTGTCCTTTTCTGTTTCCGTTTCCGGGGGAGGTTCAGAGTCTTTGCCGCCTGGCCATTTACTGCTATCCACATCTTTTCCAGGACCTTGTTTCATAAGCTTATGTATGGATGATTTACTTTCGGGGAAGTGGGCAAGTAGGTACTCCCAATCGTCTAGGTGTAGGGTGAGAACTTGCGACTTGTTCGTAGTTTGGTACGAATAAGTGTAAGGCGTGTCACGCACTAATCCCTGCAACTAGAAATTGTTTAATGATTTATTTACGGATTTAACTTTATATAACATCAAAATTATCATTGTCATCATCATCATCTTCGTTGCATAACATCGACTGCCTCAGTGGCGCAGTGGTAGTGTAAGCAACTGCTGTCTAAGTCGAGTCGGTTTTGCAGCGATTCGTTTTTCACATAAACATGTGTAGGAAGACTTATGACTAGGAAGGAAAAAATAATTTAATTTAAGTTTAAAAATGCTATTTTATGGTAATATGAATAATAAAATTATTCCAAATGTAATTGTACTAAATAATCATCGCTCTAAATAAACGTTGTGCTAAATAAAATTATGCCTTCTTAAAAGTAGGCCATTTTGAATTCGGACATATAAAAATTCGGCCAAATAATAATTATACTAACTATTTTTTATGCCTTAAAAATATTCGTTTAAAGAAGATTCTGCCAAGTATGTTATGCGAAATAAATTTCGGAGCATCAAGATTCTGCCAGACAGAAGGAACCCTGAAGAATAATAAGTTTACATCTCAAACACGGCCGTCTGATACCAAACTAGGCAGATCCTGAACCTACCATGCTGACCAGACTGCTGATAAACATACTTATACGAGTATATTTCTAAATACATACTTATTATAGATAAATTACACCCAGACACAGAACCAATGACCGTGCTCATCACATATTTATTTGTCCTGAATGGGAATCGAACCCACGACCTCTGGCTTAACAGTCAGGGTCACTAAGCACTAGACCAACAAATATGTATACTGCATGATAGATTTTACCTAAAATTTCAAGATATTTTAAACTGCAAACTCTACGTTCACCTAAACCTATAATTACGTTGCTTACTATTCCGAAGCAGGATTTTGCGAGATAAACTTTTGAAATCGGAGCTTTCTCCAACTCCGCAGCGATTTCTTGCACTTTCCCCGTGTGGATGAAGTACATGGCATCTGTAATATCACCCTCCTTCACCACGTACATGTCTAAATAAAACACAATTTAATAAACCACATTATGAAAAAAATAAAAAGGTAGGTAAAAGGAGGAGAGGCAGATCGTTGTCACGTTGGGACGAAGAGATTGCAAGGACAACCGGCCAAAACTGGAAACAGACCGCACAGGACAGAGACAAATGGGCAGCTTTGGAGGAGGCCTTTACTCAATATGGGGTTCCTGCAGATACTGCTATTTAAAATAAATTATTTTAGGTTATAATACTATGTTATTTTAAATAAGTTAAGTTAATAAGTAAATTAGAAACGTAAATACACTAGTTAAGCGTATTATATATAAACTGGTAATTTAAGTAAAATCAAAGAAAAACTAGCTAAGTGAAGTTAATTAAGTAATCAAATTAGATAAGTAACAAACACAATGTAAAGTAGGTAAATAGTACGAAATATAAGGTTTTTAATTTTATTTATTTTTTATGAGAAAAATTACTTTGGAAATTTGATCAATAATTTCTGAAGCACGAAATAAACTATGAACCTAAGAAATATTTTATACGTGTGGTGACGGATTAAGAATTCGGAATGTCTTGTCATTTCGTGGGTGTCGTAAGAGCCGTCTAAGGAGTAAACCACACAGGGCACAAGCACTGATAAAACAAGGAAAACTTGATACAAACCCTATATCAACCAGTCTGGCCTACGTGATATAGTAGGCAAAAACTTCCTTTCTAAGTAGAGGCCTATGTCCAGCAGTGGACCGCAGTGATGATGACGATGTGGAATATTAATTTTTTCTTGTCTAAGATACGGAAAAAGCTAAAATTCTGAAGCGCTAATGAGCTGTAAAGCGTGCAAGCGACTACCGCCGTTCATGAACGCCTGCAACTCAGTGGTCACAAGGGCGTTGCCAGCTTTTGAGGAAGGAGTACGCTCTTAAGGTCTCTTAATTAATTACTTACTTTCATTGTAATGGTACAATCGGAGACAGCCAACCAACTGCCTTAGGAATGCCGGGTCGCATTCCTTGAATATATTGTGCTGAAATGTTAATTTGAGCATAAGTCAAATAAGGATTTATTCCCGTAAAAAGGTATTACATACAATAAAAAAATAATCAGGGAATTTTCAATGAATTCTACAAAGTTTTCTCACCACATCATTATTTGTCCTGTGTGGGAATCGAACCGATGACGTCTAACTTAACAGTCAGGGACACTAACCACCTAACCACTACCCCAGCAAATATGTTTACTGTATGCATTCAGTGCGTTCTACAAGTCTATTACACATTACTTGTATTATATATATATATATATATCATCATCATCATCATCATCATCAACAGCCTTTAATAATCCACTGCTGGACATAGGCCTCTCCTTAGAAAGGGGGTTTTGGCCTACTATGTCACGCTGGCCCGACGGGTTGGTATAGGGTTTGTTTCAAGTTTTCCTTCTTTTACAGTGCTGTTGTCCTGTGCAGTTTGTTCCCTTAGTCGGCTCTTACGACACCCACGGGATGAATACGGGGTGGTGACATTCCGTATTCTTAATCCGTCACCACACGGACACGGACACACGGACATATATGTGTATATATATATGTGTCTCGTTCATTTTTAATATCAATATATACTAGTAATAATAATAATAATAATTCTTTTTTGATCGAAATCATTAATACGATATTTCCTATCTTTACCTAAATCTGTGCTAATGTTATAAAATTAATTGGCTCATAGCACTTTGAAGCTAGAGTTAACGGCGATGTCTGTGCTAGTATAAACTGTGTGGCAGACAAGTAAAATTATATAATTTTGGAACATTTACAAATAATATAGTACTTTATCAATTAATGTTTGATTATATATATATATATATATATCTCACACATCTCACACTATACTATGGTACTGCCTGTACTATGGTAACCAGACCGCTGATTAACATACTTATATATTTTTAAATACATACATATTATAGATAAATTACACCCAGACACAGAACAAATGACCGTGCTCATCACACAATATTTGTCCTGGGTGGGAATCGAACCCACGACCTCCGGCTTAGCCGTCAGGGTCACTAACCACTAGACCAACAGGCCCGTCAATCAATCGTCCTGAGGTACTCCAAAGATAAGATCTTCATCGACGCGTAATATATGACCCAACCTTAACTCTCTGTGTTCTCCTTGTAAAATAGTCCTTAAATATGTTGAGTGCCTCTCACAAGACCTTTGTGAAATATATTACCACGCTATTGGACGAGAATTGTTATGGAAATAATAAAACTAGAGTATATTGTTCTGGCCTACTATGGTCGCTTGGTATAGTAGGCCAAAACTTTCTTTCTAAGGAGAGGCCTATGTAAAGCAGTGGACCATTAAAGACTACTGATGATGATGATGATGATATTGTAAAAAGGAATAAGTAGTGTTACATTATTGAGGTGGTGTAAGTAAGCCGCTGACATAACCCTGAGCCGGAGTGAGAGGGGAGCCTTTTTTAAAAAGCGCGGGACCTGCATCCCACGCGATGTCCTCCACAAGTGAAGAGTATATTTGTTCACAATGTTAACCAAGTTCTTGGAGACGCGGTTGTTTTTCAAAAACTCCTGGAATATAAAAAAGATTGTAATATTAATACTTTAGGAGTAAGCGTATTTATGATAAGGTGAAGCGTCATGGTATACGCACCATGACGCTTCACCTTATCATAAAGTGGTCCCAATCGGCCCCAAACTTATCGAGATTTTTTTGAGTTAAGGTGGCAGAAAGGACACAAGGATCAGAATGTAGGCACAAACTTAGGTCAGCACTTAAGGACCTGTTCGACCGGAATTACACCACGTCCTTACAGAAAACCGATGTTGACCAATTTTTCCCTTGCTTTTACATGGTGAGCGAGGTTACTAGAACCTCTCCTACTAATTCTGGGGGTGATTCAAAGGGCCCAACACACTAGCGATTTTTGAGGTGTCCATAGGTGGTGGTAGTCGTGAGCCGTCTACTCGTTTGCTCCCTATACCATGAAAAATTATTTGAAAAATCAAAAACCCGACTGCAAAAGAATAATTTAAAGGTAATACACTAAAAATATGGCCATGATATACAGTATTAAATTCTCATGAGGAGCCCTTTAATTTGATACCGGAATTTTTTTTTTACTTTAAAGTATTGCGTCTTACAGTCGCCATGTTGTTTTTTCTTTCTCGTCACCTGTCAAAGTACATTTGGATAACTAAGACTAATCTAACGATATGTTAGTTAAATAAATCCGTGCGGCGGTTTGGAAGATTTGAGGTAATAAAGAATTTAACATGCAAACACACAAGATACGAAACGAGAAAAACATAACCCTTCCTTGGCTTTTAACCTTTAAGTCCTTAGAACTTACATACTGGAACACATCAAAACAATGTTGTGTATACTCGTATTTAATGATGCGATTGTTATCTGTTGATTGTAAAGAGTGGCCGTGAGTTTGTTTGCCCTTTCTACTCATCAGGCTCTACCCCTTGGAAATGGGCGCTTGTAGATCGGCACAGACATACATATATTAGATTTTTGATACGTATAAATTTAGTTTGCTAAATATTTGACAAAACAGAGATTGTTGCTACTGTGCGTGTTGATCTATGACTTTAAAGTCTACACAAGTGATATTTTTTTTATTGAATTATTTGAGTTTGATTTTGAGTTTGAAGTCGGGTAAAAAACACGTTCCTATAATTTGCTTCAAATTTATGAAAGTTCTGTATGACAAATAAACCATGAATAGTAGATTTTGATGTACTCGACTTATATCACGAAGGTTAATCCAGAGAGACAGTATGTCTCTTGACATTTATCATTTGAGAAGTCAAAGTTGTGTTTTGCACACTCGTCATGTCATGTGACAATTCGTTTCATATCCCACTACGCAATGTATATTTTCAACAAACAAATAAAAAAGATGTTGTGGTCGAAACATCAATAGTAAAAAAAAAAACAGCGACGTCACTACATCGGTCACTGCATGCTCTGCCAAATATTCCCGACAAATGCATAGAATTGGATATTTTTGTCAATCTTTTTCATGTTTTTTATATTCACAACTGGTAGTGAACAGATTTACTAGAGATAACTGGGTAGTCAATATGGGACAGACAGGGGTGTTTTAAATGCCCACATTTTGCTGACCATAATGTTAGTCCCTTTTACGCAAGGTGTGTGATTACGTAATGTGTTACAGACACCGGAGATTAAGAATAAAGAGTGTCACCATCCCTCTTAATCCCGCGAGTGTCGTAAGAGCCTACTAAGGGGGCAAACTACCCAGAATAACAACACTGCAAAGGGAGGGAAACTAGGAACAAGTCCTATACTAACCCGCCTGGTCAACTTTGTATAGTTGGCCAAATCTCCTTTCTAAGGAGAGCTTATGTCCAGCGGTGGCCTATTAAAGGCTGTTGATTACGTAATACGGGCAAGCGCATAGCCAACAACCGAGCACACATATTTCTAAATATATACATTTTATAGATAATTTACAACCACAATTTATTTTTGATATGTTCCCTTGTTTACTTCCTTGACTAATATATCTTGAATTGTCATTGAATAGTACAAGTATTTGCCAAGTATGTGCCTGTATTTTAAAAAGTGTCTCAGTCGTAAATCTAGACTTAAAACTAATTTTTAGTTGAGATTTTATTATTGAAAGTCACTCATAAGTAACGAGATTCACCGATCCGTACTAAAGTCAGTGGTAGCTTACTTTATAAAGACATATGTGATATTTTTTTACATGAGACAAGCTGAAACAAATCTCAAGCAGTGATTTGTAGGGAATTTTAGGGTAAAAGAACGAAGAAGAAGCGGTCACCACGCCATCCGTGCAGTCTTTTACCCTATGCACGTCCCTACAAATCACTGCTTGAGATGCGTTTCAGCTTGTCTCGCGTATTTAAACCCAAACTCAACTTTCGTGTAAACGGGGCCAATATGTAGATACTTATATACAGAGGTGTCGGTAACGGTAACAGTGTCGTCTAAACGGTAATAGATGGCAAATTGTGTTCTTTTAATTCGCCTCTGCTTATCCCCTCGACGATATATGAGTGGATTTATGTATAATACGAATTATCAGAAGACTATTTTATAGATTACGCCATTACCTGAAGCTCCAAATATTGGCTGTAGAAACTGAAGGATCTAAACGATTGATATTGGATTAGCTTGGAGAACTCGCCGACGTACATCATGAACACAAGTGTAGATATGATCATCAGAATCGTCACGAATATTACCTGCAATACGTTAATGATGTTCTAATTTATTTTTCAATGTCTTAAAATGTAATAGAAATAGACAACTGGGTGTATGTTCATTCGTGTTCTAGAGCCCATAATGTAAGCTCTGTTAATTTATGTATTCAGGCAAATTTTATTTTCCTTTCAATGTCACAGTTACGAGTTCAATATAAATATTTTTATTATGGTAGTAGTTTTCGATTCGAATGTATTTTGATGATGATTATACATACATATATAGAGTACCTACTATTAATATATCGGTTCTACTGTAACATATTTTTTATAACAATATTTTTGTGGTATGACACGACCACTTCAGACATGTCTGTCAGACAATCATTCAGCACATTCTCATATTTCCCGTCATTTAAAAAGCTGATACTCTTATCTATACCCAAATACTGCAGGATTTAGGGTTTTGGTAGTACAAAAATCTGCAATAAAATACCAGGACACAAAGAAACATGATCTTACTTCAGATTGCTTCTTTGGCATAATATCACCTACTCCATTTTGCGTGAATGTGGTGATCACGAAGTAGAGAGAGCAAATATACTCGTTTCTGCACCAACTGAGACCCTCATCTGCCAAGAAAAGATCTATTTGCAATGAAACAGCACCAGAATATGTAATCTAATAATCCCAGATCAGCATCATTTAAGCAAATCTAAGAAGAAATCATCAATCTTAGGAAGTTTTTTTTGCGAGCCTCTGTTTAACCCTTGAACGGACTCGTTTCAAAGGAAGATTGCTTGTTTCTAATCGTTGATTCAATTAGGTCTTTACCTATGCCAACGTCCATACCATGTTGAATACACCATTTCTCGTCCGATCACCGAAGTTAAGCAACATCGGGCGTGGTTAGTACTTGGATGGGTGACCGCCTGGGAATACCACGTGATGTTGGCTTTTTCTGGGGAACCTGAAATCACATGGCCCGGGTTCTCCCCAGAGCAGGGCGCCTAAGGCTGGCCGTCGGAGTGGTTTTTAGTGGAATCACCACATACTCCTGGCTCCTATATCCCCAAGGAGCCGGAAATCCGAAGGGATTTTCCACTCCGTCAACAAAAAAAATAATAAAAAAAAGGTCTTTACCTATGAAGTTGGAGATTTATTAAACCAGCATTTTCAGATTTAATTATCTGTGGATTGCAATTCGAAATTCAAATAAATTTTATTCGAAAGCCAAGTTATTTTAATTTCACGTTTCACGAAACATTAACGACGTATATGGGCCTAACACTGCTTGAATAGACAAGGTCCATTATTGGTTCAATAGGATCTGGAAATTTTGAGTTGAAGAGCGAGGCTCGCGGTAGGCCGCTAACTATATTTTTTCTACTCAAACAAGAAAAACATCTTACATGCTACTTTAACAGTCAATACAAATTTAGGTCCTGTGCTTCCTCACTCGTAAGAGACCACAACATGGACATTATAAAAAAGAAAATTTGCAAATATTCTTTTTTTTTCTTTTTTTTCTTTTCTATTTTTTTTTTTTTTTTTTTTAAAAGACAACTCCCGCACTAGGAATAAATCCTGTGTCGCGGGGGACTTTACAAACATGCATGAAACGGACACAAAGTACACCCAGACTCAGAACAACAATTTGTAGATCACACAAAGTGTTGTTCCATGTGGGGTTTGAACCCACAACACTCGGCGTAATAGGAAGCGGCGTGGTGACCACTTAAACCACTACGCCATCCGTGCAGTCTTTATAGATTAAAAAAAAAACTAATGAAAGAATTATTTATAACAATTAATTGTGCAAAAAATAGTAAATCAGTAGTAGTTAATATTTTAATGATAGGTACGATGTCAACATTGTGCGTTACACAAATTGTTGTTGTGTGTCTGAGTGTTCTTTGTGACCGTTTTATGTATGTTTGTTAAGTCCCTTACGATAGTGCTCCCAGGACATATTCAGGATGCGGGAGTTGACTTTTGAAAAAAAAATAAAGAAAATAAAAAACCAATGAGTACGCTGTGATACATGTGACTACTGCTATTACTACAAAGCTCGCATGCATTATTTCAAGTTTATCCGACACCAGCTTTTGACCGCGGCTCCGCCCGCGTTTATGTCGGTTGTCGAGGTACAAAATGCCTATATTATTCGCTGATAATGTAGCTTTACATTGGTGAAAGAGTTTTTTAAAATCGGTTTAGTAGTTGAGGCGTGAAAGTTTAACAAACAAACAAACTCACTTTCTCATTTATAACATAAGTATGGATTCACATCACATCACATCAACAGCCTATACTAGTCCACTGCTGGACATAGGCCTCTCCTTAGAAAGGAGGTTTTGGCCTACTATACCACGCTGGCCAGACGGGTTGGTATAGGGTTTGTTTCAAGTTTTCCTTCTCTTTGCAGTGCTGTTTTCCTGCTTAGTTTGCTCCCTTAGTCGGCTCTTACGACACCCACGGGATGAATTGGGGTGGTGATAATTTGTATTCTTAATCCGTCACCACACGGACGAGTGTATAAGTATGGATTACCAGAATAAAACCATTTAGTTTTCATCTACTGGTTACAATTTAAGGAAGTCCTTGTAGAAGGACTGTAGTACCGGTATAAATCCATGAAGATTTGTACTCCTTCTGTTCCTCCAACCTTCCAATGAAGTACCAGATGCAGGTGGAGGCGTGGACGAAGAGGCTGAACCAGATAGTCACTGTTAATATGGTGCTCGCGATGAGGTTTACCGTTATACGTTCGTTTCGGCGTTTTAAGCATTTGTTCACTGTTACCTGGCAAAGTATCACGTCATTAGAAAAATAGAAACGCTGATGATGGTGTTGCTGTACAGCATTGGATGCCATACGGATGATCTACCGCCACCTCAGATATTTCTGGGGTTGCAGGTTCGATTTCTGCTCTGTGCGCAAAGATATGCGTATTGTTATCTAAAAGTATAAATATTTAGGATCGTTATATGTAATCGAAAAATCTGTGTATTGTAAACATACCAAGGAACCACACAACACCATGATCGAAACGACACCATTGCTGACTAGTGATGTATAACGTGAAATAAAACAATTCATTGTGTTAATTTGTCACAGGGATTTGTAAAACATAATAATTGTATCCATTGCAACAAAAAACAACTAAAGGATGTCTCAGTAAGAGTGCACTTTTTAAATTATTCTAAATTTAAAAAGTGGCAACTCTGAAATTTCACAGCTGTCACCTATGTTTATTCCGATTATTAAAAATGGAGCGCTTTTCGAAAGGATAACGTCTTATAATTGTGAAAACTCATTACAAAAATGGGAAAAGTTACGCTCAAATCAGATCCAACGCATCATCGGTGAGATAAAGCAACATCTCTGTGTAAAAATCATGGAAAATTTATGTGTGTGTAATGAGTAATGGCCTGTCATCAGAGCCGTGGGGGCCATTTGCCGGATATTTTATTCCATACTTAATCGGAACGTGTCTTCTTTACAATCCAATAAAAATAACACAACTCTTTCATAAAATACGTGTTTTTATCTTAAAATGAAAAAAGTGACCTCTTACTGAGACATCCTTTAAATTAATTTATGAAACTCGATCCGATAATTATCCAATTTTTTCACTACATCTGCTATCTTTAAAAAAACTTCTGGAAACTTCTAGAAAAAGCTATTTAAAATGGTCATAGTCGTGATCTAATGAATGAAAAACAATTGATGTGGATAAATGCGTAAGTTTTGTGTTAGAACTTTAGTACGGTGGTGTCGTTAACAAAAACAATTGTAAGCGACACCCCAGTGGTGTGATTCAGTGGTGTCCTTTACAATATACGGTTATATCTTTGATTTATTTTACAAAATGTATTTTTAATGAAAAGTTGACAATAGAAAAATTGTATATAATAATAATAATAACCTCACACATTTCACACACGGCTGTCTGATCCCAAACTAGGCAGAGCCTGTGCTATGGTAACCAGACTGCTGATAAACATACTTATATATTTCTAAATACATACATATTATAGATAAATTACACCCAGACACAGAACAAACGATCGTGCTCATCACACAAATATTTGTTCTGGGTGGGAATCGAACCCACGACCTCCGGTTTAGCAGTCAGGGTCACTAACCACTAGACCAACAGGCCCGTCATATTATAACTAGACAATAGAGATAACATTACAACATGTCTCCATTCTAATTAAGATAACCTTAAAAATAACGAAATAATGTTTGTATGTAGTTTATTTCCGAAGATATCACATCCAATTTGGCCAAAGTATGGCTAACGTGTTTATAATCAAAATTTTAGTGTCTACCTGCCTTCTTTACCCGGAAATAATTCAGGATAAAGATTAAGACCAGATGGAGTTTATGTTCTTTTCCAGCTCTCTTGGAACTTAGTTTTTTTTTTTCAACTTATTGTGTCAGACAACAAATCTCTAATACAAATTGTCACATGCGGTATTTCTGGACCGATACGACCTGTAAACCACTGTGGAGGAACGGGTGTCATGTCCCTCCAACACATAAGGAGGATCCTCTGACCAAGCCAGGTGATCATGCCTGGTGGGCCGCGGCCTAAAGTTTGATGTTGGGAAGAAGGTTGAAGTATGCTAATCGGCGTGAGAATTTTTCGTATCGCGAAACAGGATTAGCAGTCACTCCGTAATTCAGAGTATCTTCGTAAGATGGTGCTGCAGTATGTTTCTTCGTTTCACTGTATGTGGAAGTCGCTACAACGGTCAAGAAAACAGTGTAACGCTCAAAGGCCAGTAACGCAATTGTGACTCTTAAATTACAGGTGTACAGGGAGGGGGGGGGGGGGGCAGAGCGGGAGTCGCATACTATCATATCACCCGTCTGCTCCTTTACCCCTCGGTATATCATGATGAAATATCAGACTGTCATTAAATAATATAGTTCCGAGAATCAAAATCATACAAAGTAGGTAAATCGTTTGGGCACTCAAATTAACATAAATAACAAAGATGAAACTAACAATTCTAAACATCCTGTTGATTCTCAGCCAAGAGAACCAGAGCCACCGGTTCTCCTCGACGTGGAATGCGAAGAGCTCTATTGGCACGCAAGACATCATGTCGTACTTGAACTCGCGTTTGAAATACCTACGATTATAGACAATTTTTAATATATACAAATAAACACGTCCGAATTTTACACGTTCAGTAAGATATAATAGATGCTATTTTAGAATAAAATTTTGGAATTTAAAATAATAACATAACAAATCTCACACACGGCCGCCTGATTCCAACATAGGCAGAGCCTGTACTATGATAACCAAACTGCTAACAGACATACGTATATATTTCTATATATCTATTTATTGATTTATAAAAAATATAATATACGGGAACAGTTTCCTTTCCAAAGGCTTGACAGTCGGACTCAGTGTTTTTCCGTATCTCTGACAATCTGTATGCCAAATTTTATATGTTGTTTGTGGTTTACTTTGATAGGAAAAGGCAAGGAGCCACACACAAGTTTTATGCTAGTCAAGTGCATAATTTCCAGGCAACTTTAAAAAAGTAGAAGGTTTTGAAATCGGTTGTATGTTTTTGTTTGATACCACAGAACTCCGTAATTTTATTGACGATTTGAAAAATTCTTTCTTTATTTAGGATGATATACTTTCAGAATTTACTGGATGAAGGCAAATTAAATTTGTGTAGAGTCAAGTAAAAATCAGGTATAATTTTTCAAGTACAATTTGATTCGATAATACATTAAAGTTGGTACCATTTCAATTATTAGAAACAGGATGTGGTTAAATTATTCTTAGTGTCACTGAACTTTAAAACATCCAAGTAATATTCTGAAGCCCGATTTTCTAACGTTTGTTGATTGGTATTTGTACTCGTAATAACTTACATTCTTCGCAATGGGAGAAGCAAGGTTTTGAAGCGTCGCTTTGTGACAAGCAGCGGCAATGCAAACTGCATCAAGATTTTGAGAAAGAAACACATGTCTAAGATATACAATGTCAGAATCAGCCACGCTCTGTTGTCCTGTAAAAATATTGGGGATTATTAAGACTATTTTTAAAGTAAAACTTTTGTTACATGGCCTCAATTTTTTTGACCATCTATCGCATTTCGCATTAAGGCCAAGGGCAATATGGCAGCGTGAGGAAAAACAAAGAACATGAGAGCTGCTGAAGTTACATTCGTTAGAAACTTTACGAAAAACGCTTTTATCTAAAAAAAAAAAACGCGATTTATCGCCCTTCATTTTCTCAGCTTCTGTGTCTCGTAGGAAATCCGTTCAGAGCTGAAATAATAGCTTTTAATACCTCCTCCAATTTTTTGCTTTCCCATCAATCTTTGTGACAAGTGGGTTAAAATGTTCTCACCTGGTATCCAGCATTATATAGGTCCATAAATATACATATCAAGCTGACCAATATAAGGTACAACAAAACAAGTCCCTCTTGGAAGTAAATGTACTTGATGATGTCCCTCCTGGTGGTCGGAGGAGGAGGAGTTATGGTGTCACGGCCCCGATCCAGCTTCACCTTGAAATCTTCTATATTTCCCAGGATATAATGCTGTAATTAACGATAAACGTCAAGCTCTGCTTAGGCACAATGACCCGGTACGACTGGAGGGATCCGGGTCTGACAGAAAACTGGTGTTAAGCTACTTTTTCAATGGTTTTTGAACAGTGTGGGTAAGGCCATCAAGTTCATATCCATGCATTCTAGTGGAAGAGGACACACAAAGCTCAGAGTGGCAACGAACTTGTATTTCTTGAATTGCAAGTCTCAAAGGGCTGCGGTAGTCACTTACCATCAAAAAACCCGTCTGTTCATTTGCCATATTTATAGGAATTTTGCCAGTTTTTGTATACTTTCTTGAATCTGTTCTGAAATTTGAATTGAGAACATCTAGTATAATTGACAGTACCTAACTGACAGTAGTATGACAGACAAATTGTGACAAGACAGCTACTATAAAGGATAAAGATTTTATCAAAATAAATACCTAAAATTTCTTTTGGACTTTATATTTACTTACTTTTCTTTATTTAATTCCTATTTACACTAATACTCGTAATATAAAAATGAAGAGTTTGTTTATTCGTTTGAACACGCTAATCTTAGGAAGTAATAGTTCGAATTGACAAATTCTTTTAGTGTTAGATAGCCCACGATTTATCGAGAAAGGCTTTAGGTTGTTTTCCTATACCAGCTATACCCTGCCACTTGTCACTGTGGCACATGTTGTTTCCATTGATGATAAATGAAGAAAAAAACTGACACAGAAATTAAATAAAAACAATCTCTGAAGCGTGTTGTACATCGTGTCAAAATTTGAACTCAATCGGACCAGAAATTTTTGAGTTTTTGAAGCGTACAAGCCAGCTTAATGTTTATATATATATATAGGTAACACACTACGACCAATAGGCGGGCAATATTTGTTCCTTTTGAGAGACACAGGCGGAGTGGGTCAGCTAGTGCAATGCAAAGCTAGAGTTTAGTTTAATGTCTTCGGTTGAGAGCTATAGCATGATGCAGTATTGAGCTTTACTGATTACCATCATTCAGGTGGAGATATCCCTGACTCTCTCTAACGCCTATAATATTTCAAATGGAAGATCCTTACAAATGAACTTCAGGCACTAACGCGTTTTGTACATGTTGAAGTTGTGCAAAACTTACCATATCATCTAAGTAAAAAAAGTATAATAATTCATACAAATAAAACACTCTGTCTGTCCGTCACGGAGTGTATAAAAACAGGATTTATGCAAAACGTAGAGGGCACTACGCAAGTTTGATTTATATTTGTTTTTACATCGTAAACTTTGCATTCACACGATTTTACAGCTAGATCGCAAAATATTACGATTTTCTCAAAATTACTCAAGTTTGGTTTATTTCACGGTTTTAAATGTTCATTAATCTTTTTAATTGTAGTTACGTTATTTTTTTTACGAATTTATTAATATCGGATTTCTAGAAAATTACTCCTAAAAGACTTAGTTAAAATAATTTCTACAGATTTAAATGATTAAAAAGTAGCATAAGGAGCAAATATTAGTGATTATAGTAACTTCGAACTCCACTAGTACTGCAAAAGCGCAATTGGCGTATCCCCATTTCTATCTACCTTCGCATGGAGCATGACAATACTTCCTAGCCGCGTTCTTAAATCACTGAAGGCGATGATGTCTTAGTTGTTACTCCATCGTAAATATTTCCTGTTATTTAGTCTTTAGTAATGCATGACCTGATCATGGTAATGCTTCATAAGAAAAAATATTGAAAAAAAAACTTAAATGCACCTGATTATCCGTCATTCGGGCTAATTCCAAGAGTGCCTTTGTGGTTGGAAACTCGTTAATGATTTGATAGAAAGCTTGCGAGTTAATCTTTAGAAGGTGAAGTCGGCTGGTTGCTACGATGGTCATAGGCACCCGTTGCGCAGGCATCGCTTCTAAGTTGCCGAACAAACTACATTAAAAATAAAGTTTTAATGTAAGGAACCAACGTGTCTTGTTTACTCGTCATGTAACCGACAGCAAATATCATGATATTATAATCGATTCTAATAGAGAATCGATTATTGATACAACTAATTGTCAATGTGGTGACGGATTAAGAATATAGAGTGTCACCACCTCTATTCATTTACTACTTTTGAATCATATTCATTTGATAAAATGATGCGTTTTAATCAAAGCGATTTCACATGTGATTATGATTTCGTCATAGACAAAAATAAATGGAATTAAAATCAATTAAATATCTTTTGTTTCTATTTTTTAGATTAAGACTTCGCGAGTCTTGCGCTAGCGTTATAATAACAATTAAGTCGCAGTGGTTTTCTAAATCAGTCACAGGTGCAATTATATAATTTATCACATGTGATTGTGATTTTATTCCATACCTACTGTGCTGTATTGTATTGATACGAAAGCAATTGTGCTGGTCATTGACGCAGTATTTCATAATTAACTAAAAAAAAGTTTACGAGTCGCTTACGACGACATCAATATCATAATATTTTGATTGTGTGCAAATACCAACCAACCTGCCCCTAGGTAATCGCACAGCCTGGCTCATTATCCCGATAGACACCCTCGACTCCACCCCTCCATAGTCAACGAAGTACACACTGTTCACCACATCATCGTATTCTATAATCTTCATATCCCGAAGGAAGTATACGCTGCGGACTGAACGTCCAATCATTCGGAGGAGAGATATATCACACTGGGCGAGTAGAGGACACTAAGACAAGACAAAAAACATATGAAGAGCATTATAAGTTAGGGTTAAAGGGAAGGTCCTGTTAGACTGTAAGTATTGTTTCTATTACCAATAAATGAGAAGGACCCTCTATTCCGTGAACTGCAAATGGAAATTTCTGGAGTGTTTCGGATTCAATGGACAGATTTTATCCATAACCAAACTTCCGTTGTTAACCTGATTGTGGGTCATCTGAAGTCTTTGTCTACGATAAGGAGCTTTTCGGTACAGCATAGTTAACCTCTTCAGAAACCATTGCATACGGGTGCGGTCACGTGATCAAAGAACTTGTTTGATTTAATATATATATATATATATATATATATATATATATATAAAATTTGAGTCAACTTGAGCCCACCTGGTTTCCGAAGCTTGTAAAAACGTAAAACCAATTTAAAATTACCCCACTTTGATGTCGGCCTGAGACAATAAAATCCTGTAAAATAATCATTAAATCCAATTTGATTGTTGTCTTCGCTGCAGGCTGCACACCTTGACTTCTCGACCGATCCTGAACGACCATCAATAAAATTTTGTAAACACATAGGTACAGCAGAGGACGTAGAGTAACTTCCATCTACAAAACAATTTTAGTCATGACTGCCACTGACTCATAAAATCCACATCGTGAACTAAGCCGCATACAAAATACTCGTACAATGATTTGTAAATTGTTTCTTTAGTACCTTTGCAAGAGAGTCTTCTTGCACACAGCTCGTTTTCTTTTTTTCTTTTCCTTTCGTATTTTTAGAGGAAATGTAAACTAATAAATCGTAGGAGACATTACCTTGGCAAATGTAGGTCCGTATATATGTAGGATAGCATCGGAACGGAGAGTTAGCTGTTCACAGAGCTTCAGCACACCCCGGTAGTCGATACCACCCATCTTCTCCCAGTTGTACTCGTAGTACAATCGTAATTCCCTATTGAAAATATTTGTTTTAAAATTTGTGCAGTCTTTAAAAGGATTTATAGTCAGTGCAAGAGTTAAATGCAGAACTCGGGAATATGCCAATGTTAAGACACTGAGGCGAGAAATTGCAGCGACGGAGAAAGATGGTTCCGCCTCGGCCCGATGCATTCACCTAGTATGCTTATTGTACCTTAGCTATAACGTAATTGCAATGATAGCTAGGGGTAATATCTACCTAGACACAATAAAATTGTCATTATAAAATATAGAAATAATGGTTCTTCGTTTAATATGTTCAAGACATTTCATTTTAATGAGGCTTTTAGTTACAAACCAGTTGTATTCTATTAAATGAAATTCTATTAAAATCAATCATAACATTAAATGCTCAGATTATGTATATTTGTTGCGAGATTTATATTAACTGAACAATTACGAATTTGCTACACTAGTTATAGTTATACATCATATCATAAGACTACAACTTTTGTTGGTGGTGGTTTGTGATTGTTTCTGTCTGCAGTACTCTGCATGTTCCCATATGCGATTTTATAAAATCCAATAAGATTTTGAAAGTTATTGTTACTTGGGGACTTAAATAAAGAAAGATTGTTTACTTTCATATAAGCGTTACGAGCGTGGAATGGTGTAAACAATTATGTTCACTAAACACTAATGTGTGTGCAAATCTGAAGGATCGAGCTATTTATCTTAGATTCATGGGCCAGGCTTACCACGCCTACCAAGACAGAGCCTCACAGAAAACCTATGTTAGCAGTTCTTTCGTTCTCTTTCACCGAAGGCCAGGCTTACCAGGCTACCACGGCCTCACAGTAAACCTATGTTAGCAGGTTTCTCGTTGTCGTCCATCGAGTATGTGAGATTAAAGAAGCCCAATCCTTTCCCCGCACCCCAGCTCGCTTATCATCAGGTGACCCATCTGCTCGTCCCCCTATACCATCATCATCCCTATACCATAAAAGGGAAGGTTTTCATTTAACTCACTTTTGTAACTCTGGATCTAAATTCTCTTTTTTCATGTACGCGATGATGTCCCTCATGTGCTGCTGGAAACCAGCGTGTGCCTTGTTTACGTTGGACCTTATACTGATGATGCGCACCGAGAAATATGTGATGATCATACCACCTGAACATTGACAAATTGAACAGTGTATAATCAGTTCACGTCCCTTTAAGAATTATTTACACCGTACGCCGGTAGATATCTAAACTCAAACTCTATCTTAAACTCTCTTTATTTCATAAAATTTTCAAAATTGTTTGAAATCGTCATTTATGTAGACTCTAAAGTCATAGATCAACACACACAAAAGCAACAATCTCTGTTTTGTCAAATAGTAAGCAAATAAATTTAACAAAAATCAACCCCATACAAAATCTATGATATGCCTGTGCCGATCTACAACCGCCCGTTTCCAAGGGGTTGAGCCTTATGAGAAGAAAGGGCACAACAAACTCATGGCCACTCATCCAAATTGTAATGGCACCGAAGCCCATAATATTAGCTAAAGGCTAGATCATACTATTGTGTTAAAACAAGTGAGTTTTAAGGTGCGAGGTTCTCTGAAACGTCGCACGCGACCGACGACGTGTGGATACGCGTCGGCTAGATCGTCACAGATGTGTCGTTCTAAGTACCCAGCGCTGAACATTGCCGTCGGCATACGGTCGCGTGCAGCGGACGGTTCAGAGAATCCTGCGCATTAAAACTCACTTGTTTCCATAATCAATACCATTTATTGTTCTTTCAAACAAGTCCTATAAAGTCTCCCTTTCTCAAGAATTTTCCTCACGCTGGCAATATCAAAACCGGGCAATGCAGAAGTTAGTGGGATTTTTTTTGTGGTTAAAATGAATAAATTTTTCATTCACTTAAAATGATAATGATGAGATGGCTATAATTTTACCGTGGGAGAGTACCTATGCTGTGGCATACATAGGCCAGCTCCAACCAAGCTTCTCCTGTTTTTGGGAGAGGGAACTAAAAGTGTCCGTAGGCGGCGATCCATCAGCGGTCAGGCGGTCAGGCCATACCATAAAAAAATTAGGAAAACTGGAGTTCTCATAAGTAAAGAGTACTCGATAATGGAGAATTCGTTTGGTATGTTTCTGTTATTAAAAATAATATCTATCTTACACATAGTCATTCCAAGAAACAGAATTTGCATTAGGGCTTGGTTGCTTGGCTTGAACTTGCCGTAGCCCGTGGTCGTCGTCTCATATACGACCCAGAAGTGCGTGGCCAAGTACAGGTTGAAAGGAGAAGATATCAAGTTGAAGCGAACTGTCGAACAAAAACATCGTATTTTAAGCTTTTTAGAGAACAGAAGTTATCAGTGCTTATTTCACTCAACAGCAGTGCCGACACTGTACCAGCGTGGAAAAGCATTAGACGATTTTATCCAATATTTAGAAGAACATGTATATTTCAGCAGCAGAATAGTTACACTTGAATTTCAGCTAACAGCGCCACCAACCATTGAGCATTTAACGAAATTGGTTTAATGCTCTGAAATGATATTTATTTCTGCAAGTAAATCTTTTCAGATATTTTTACAAATCGGACTTTACAGCTAGAAGGCGCCGGCATTTCCTAAGACTCACTTCGGGAAGAAACGCCTCAACAAACCACAGAGGTGTCTTTTTTTAAGTCCGTGTACAATGTTAAAGAGAACTATGTGAGTGCAGTATAGGGTCTGGGTTAGCCTTTTGAAGAAAGGACCATATAATTGAGTCGGCCCGTCCATACAGACGGCATACGAGCCCCAGCCATTGTATAGCCTAACCGATATAGTCAGGATCAGCAAATCGGAACACGACACTACCGCCTGCAGGACACTAGAGTGGGAAAAAGCTGCCACATCAATCTCTGAGCATACTTTACCTTTACCACGAAGCAACATTATTCTTTCTTTCTTTTTTCTTTTTTATTTAAGACACCTTCCGCATTAGGAATATATCTTGTGTCGCGGGGGACAAACATACATGAAACGGAAAAAAAGAACACCCAGACTCAGAACAACAATTTGTGGATCACACAAAGTGTCGTCCCATGTGGGGTTTGAACCCACAACACTCGGCGTAGTAGGAAGCGGCGGTCTGCAGTCTAACTAGTCATTATGAAACTAACTTTAATAAGAGAGAGAGTAAAAGCTAAATTAAGAAAAAGACAATTAATCTTACATGTAGAGCTGAAATGATCTATCCAGGATCCTCCAGGGTCTTTAAATGGCTCTAATAACCACCCAGTTATCCCATAGTCATTTTTAAAGAAAAATATCTTCACCGAATTGAATATCATCAGGCAGGTCAAAATGTTAAACATTGATATGAAAAGAGGCACTGCGTTGATCCTGAAAAGATTAATTTTAATTGATTCTATGAAGACGGATGAAGACGAAGTGGTGACGGATTAAGAATACAGAGTGTCACTACCCCTATTCATCCCGTGGGTGTCGTAAGAGGCGACTAAGGGAGCGAAATACGCAGGACAACAGCACTGCAGAGAGAAGGAAAACTTGACATAAACCCTATACCAACCCGTCTGGCCAGCGTGGTATAGTAGGACAAAACCTCCTTTCTAAGGAAGAGGCCTATATCAAGCAGTGGACTGTAAAGGGTGTTTATGTGTGATGTGATGGGTTTTTTACATAGGGAAAAAGAAGAAGACAGCTGACCTGATACAAAGTTAGGTGAAATTTAAATGCTTTGCCGCGATGTAGTTTGACTGCCACCACTAGAAATTAGAGGTGGCTTCCTCCGATAAGCTCTCAGTCAGCGTAAAATAGCAAAAGGATTATTTTTCATCGGTTGTCTGTAAGGCCGTGGTAACACTTCGGTCAAACCCGCACATATGTGTAGCAGTGCTACTCTCTAAGGAAACAGCGCTACAGCGCTGCCACAGAGTCGAATTTCAAACTATCTTAGTTTAAAATTCGACGCTGTTTCTCCGTTGTACGCAAGGCTGGATTTCCTTAGAGAATAGCACTGCAGAGACGGTGTATATGTTATAGATGTACATTTAATAATTGACGGGCCTATTGGTCTAGTCTAGTGATTAGTAATTCATGACTGCTAAGCCGGCAATCGTGGGTTCATTTCCCATCCAGAACAAATAATTGTGTGATGAGCACGATGATTTGTTCTGTGTCAGGGTGTAATTTATCTATACTATGTATGTATTTTGAAATATATAAGTATATTTATAATAATAATATAATATATCTCACACATCTCACACACGGCTGTCTGATCCCAAACTAGGCAGAGCCTGTACTATGGTAACCAGACCGCTGATAAACATACATATTATAGATAAATTACACCCAGACACAGAACAAATGACCGTGCTCATCACACAATATTGGTCCTGGGTGGGAATCGAACCCACGACCTCCGGCTTAGCAGTCAGGGTCACTAACCACTAGACCAACAGGCCCGTCAAATTATTATTATTTTATTTATCAGCAGTCTGGTTAACATAGCACAGCCTAGTTTGGAATCAGACGTCCGTGTATGAGATGTGTAAAGTTATTATAAATAAAATCGAAAATCGTTTATAGTACTTACACCATGAGTATATCTCGCCTCTCAATGTAATTCCGTAACGACTGCATGATGCACGGGAACCGGTACAGCTGCACAAGCCGGTTCATCATTAGGAACTGTTCCACTGGAGTTACTTGGTACATGTTCGCTGAAATCAACGTCAAATTTGTGACGAAAGAGGATATGCAACACGATTGCCTCGGTGGTGTATGTGAGTGCTGTTATGTGGTCTTGGGTTCCATTCCGGGGTCGGACCAAATGTTTGTATGACATATATGTATTTACAAAAAAGTACAAAAGTATTCTATCAGTCAATCTAACTGTCATAGTACGAGCTCTGCTTAGTTTAAAACTAGATAGCGTGGTGTGTCAGATGTCCGAAATAAATTTTACTCTCAATTCGGTTTAATTTTTGAACTCAAAACTTTTTCAGCCACGTTGAACGATTTTTGGTAGGTGATTTCAAAATGCTCGTGACATTTTGCGCTAGACTAGCGACGCGTAGTTTCATTGTTTTAAGTTTTCATTTCTTTCGGCACTCCTTTCAATTTCAATTTCAATTTTTAATTTATTGCATTCCATAATGTACATTCAGGTGGTAGGCTTAAAAGTAGATAACAATTATGGACCCTGTCGGGCACAGCACTATCACTCCTTATGACTGCCTATATTTTTTTATGGGAGAACTTCGTCATTTAGGATCCAATCTGAGAAATTCTCCTTTTATTTTAGCGGGTTTACTTCCAGTTTGCTTTCATTTAAGTTTGAAGAAAAAATAATACCCCTTACTCCTTACGATGAAGTCAGTGATACATTATTTAAAATCAATATTCGACAACAGTTTTAATTGTGGTGCGCGAGTCTGTTAGGTACCATCGAGAACTTCTATTTAGGAGATCTCGTAAAAGTTTTGACAGCTGGCGTCGATCAACAGACAACAATTTACACGCTTAGTCTAAAGTTCATTGGACAAAGGTAACCGCGAACACGATAGAAGCACGCGAATCTTTCCTCATTTTAAATATGTAGAAAAAAAACAGAGTTCTTTATGCAAGGCCTAGGAAGGGATCATAAATATGTAATGAATATATCTGGAGAAAAAAATGTGGGGAAATTAATTTCCTTTACCATCGAAATGAACGGTTTCTGCCTCCAGTTTTTCCAGCGGTAGACATCCAAAGAGATCGGTAATGAAAGGTCCCTTCATGTAATAAGCAGCCGTGCTTGAAGGATGGTATATTAAGATTCCGTCTTCGTTGTAGTAACCCACTAGCATACGCTGGAAACTAAGCAGACATTGTTACATATGTATCAAATACCTCCATTGATTTTGTGAAAATAGTAAAAAAACATAACAAGATTATTTTTTACAATGAAATATTGTTTTCGAACTTCGTGTTATAGGGAATTTCTATCAAATGACTGATATGACTGAGGTTGGCGGCAATACAGTTGGGTCTCTTGAGACATAAGCGTTCACTAGCAGCGGTAGTTATTTACCATCAGGTGACCTGTATGCTGGTTTGCCACTTACACTAAGAAATTAATTTGACGAACGGCGGTTCCTGATGTGATGAATTTCCAATTGCTTGTCTAGTCTTGACCTTGTTCGGCACATTCGCTGTGATCAGACACGTCTCTTGCAACATACATTGCATTGCATGACATGGCATTTTACAAGCTCAGTAGTGGTATATGTCCCAAATTATTATTCTTATTAGTTCAATAAAAAAATCGTTTTATTTTTATTATCTGTCCTAGCCTTCTTCCAATTTTAATTCATGTGAGCGGAATATTCTTTTTCTTCCATTGTATTCTATGTTTCGTCATTTCATTGCTTCTAGATTTATAATCAATCATGAATTACATCCAAATTTCATTTAACCATCTGCTACTCTTGTACTCTTTATTTTCCATACATCTCATACACACTCTTCATTATTTATTTCTTTCATCACTACGCATCACATGTTCATACAAGTGTTATCTATACTAATTCTAGCTGACCCGGCAAACGTTGTTTTGCCATATAAATTATTTCTAGTGAATTTTTTGGTAGTTAAATCAAAAATAACTAACTCATTGTAAGTGTGTGGGATAGGGTCTATAATTGAAAGAGGAATAGAGCGCTGTGGCCGATGACAGCCTATGAAAATAACAAAACACTAACCATTTATATTCTTAATACAATGTACTTTATTAACTTAACTGATATTTTTTACAATTAAAATATACACAAAAACTCGCATAATATCGTCAAGCCGTTTCGGAGGAGTTCGATAACAAACACTGTGACACGAGATTAGATTATAAAGAGGTAAAGTTTGTAAGTTTCTATGTTTGGAGTAATCTCCGGAATTACTTGCTCAAATTGAAAACTTCTTTTAATGTTGGATAGCCCTTTTATCCAGCAAGGATATAGGCTATATAAAATTATGCTATGACTTATAAGAGTCAATAGAAGAATATCAACGAAAAATGTTGCGAGAACGGGGATTTTTTTTTCCTTTTAAGAGTAGCAAACAAAGTTGTACGGGACAGCTAGTGTGTTATTTTATTTATTGACATATTAGTTTCTGGATGATCTTACATGTCAAACACAGCCGTTAGATCCAGCAACAGGGTGAAATAGTACAACCAGGGCCACTGCAGTACTAAGTAGGTATAGTTTGGGAAAACAATGGATGACATCAGGGCGCAGGATACTCGGAGCCACTCGTAGCGCATCAGGTATTTGCCGTCTGGACGTATTGTGAACCGTGGGAATATATATCTGAATGGAACAAATGATGAAAAGAGGGGTATGAGAAAACTGCAGATATATTTCAACTTATAGATAGTTCCAGGGATAAAAACATGGAAATAGAATTGTTGTTACGCAGGCCTCGTAATTAACGCTACAAGGTACGTAGTTTAGCATCATCATCATCATCATCTTCAAAGACGTCCACTGTTAGACATAGGCCTTCCCCAAGGTTCACCACAACGACCGGTCCTGTGATGCCCGCGACCTTCACTTGGCATCTCTTTGGGTAATTACGTTATGTTTGCTGCCATATTGACCTGTCGTCTTTACTGTGAGGTCGGATCTGATCTCTATACCATCTTATTTACAGAAAGGATTTAATAAGCTAATTAGTACATATCACTAAATACAAAAAACTGCTTCTCCATCAGTCAGCTATGTCGAATATTTTATCTGTGCGCGTGCACTCTATATCTTGAACCTCTCGACATAACTTTGAGTCTCTTCACATGGTGTAGAAACAACAAATACAGCGCAATACATAAAAATACATGATATAACAAAGTACATAAGATCTTGCAACTACCGTAATATGGCGAAAAAGCCCAGATTCTTGAAAGGGTGAAGAAACTCGTAATCCGGTTCGTATTTTCTGGGTAACTTGAAACGTTCCAAGTTTGGAGTGGGAGGTAGGGGGACGTACGTAAGGAAAGACGGTTGTCGTTGCTGCATTAGGGTGTACTCCTAAAAAAAGATTTAACCATTGTTCGTTTAAGGTAACTATTGCACTTCGCAATTGTTAATAAATTCCAAGTACAGATGTTAAAACAAAGTTTCACTTTCAAACTGAATGTATTGTAGGTTGACCAAGATGACGAAGAGACTATTCTGCTTCATCATCATCAACAGCCTTTAATAGTCCACTGCTGGACATAGGCCTCTTAGAAAGCAGGTTTTGGTCTATTATACCACGCTGGTCAGATGGATTGGTATAGGGTTTGTTTCAAGTTTTCCTTCTCTTTGCAGCACTGTTGTGCTGCGTAGTTTGCTCCCTTAGTCGTCTCTTACAGCACTCACGGGATGAACAAGGTTGGTGAAATTCCGTATTTTTAATCCGTCACCACACGGATTCTTTTACATTTCTTTAATTAATTAATTTACTTCGTCTACAATTCCTTAAATTTACCAAAACCTATTACAATTTGTTGAAGGACTGACCCTATTAGTTGACTCTAAATCTGTTGCTGCTTTTTTATGATATGAGGGGATTCCTGATGGAAAGAGACTAACGTCGGTCATGTATGGAGCAACTCAGGAGTCAAAGCCTGGTCGCGTCAATGACAGAAACTTATCTGCTATCACTTTTGAAAGATTTGCCTGAATATTATTCCTTTAGGTTCTTATATTTCATTACTTTATACGCAGGACAACAGCACTGCAAAGATAAGGAAAACTTGAAATAAATCCTATACCAACTCGTCTGGCCAGCGTTCTATAGTAGGCCAAAACCTTCTTTCTAAGGAGAGGCCTATGTCCAGCAGTGGACTATTAAAGGCTGTTGATGTGATGTGATGAATTGATGATTTTATTGTTAGCAGTTATATTTATATTGATTATTATTTGAGAACTAATAATCAATCAACGAATCGCTCAAATATATCTTCAATTCAATTGAAATCAATTTTATTTGCTACAATATGGGTTATACAATAAACAGATGGAACAGATACAGCTGGTTTCACCATATTAAGCTGAATGTCACAGCATACAAAAATTAACAAAAATTATAACATAAGCAAAAGAAGATCTAGTTGTGCCATTGTTCTAAATAATAATACGTCGGATGCGTTAATAGCTACTACAGATAGTGCTAGGATTATCGGCCATTTTCCTTTACCGTTCGTATTCTTCCAGCTGCTCACGAGAGGTGCCAAGTAGGTAGAAGGCACATTAACCATGAAAATTCCCCAGAACTTTAAATGGTCTAACGCGCGAGTTAAACAAGTTGAATATTAGTTTTAGTGTATTGCAAGGTGTACCGGTGTTGTCTTAACATATTCCAGGGCCTCTTTAATCTGCGGGTTTTCAAATACCGGCTTCAAGTGTCGCTTGGAGATACAAAATATTTGCACGTGAGTGACAGCACGAACTGTGTAGTACGCTGGTAACCCTAAACAAAAAGACATTTTATTTATTTTATTTTATTTTGTTCGGAATTCCAGCAGCACAAATAACGCAAGGTAAAACATTAGAGTAAAGTTACAACGACGCTATTCACAGGTATTCGCAAATAGATTCCAAGTGTAAAACAACAGTTCAAATAACTTAGAAAAAGGAAAAAATAAAATGTTAGACTAAGAAAATGTCACGCTCCTAATATTGGGCTGAAAAAATTTTTTGACATCTGAAGGTCTGTATCTGAAGAGCTCAAACTCGCTACTCAATTTATGCATATCATTCACAGATTTACTGGCTCGAATAATAAAGGAATTTATGCGGTAGTTGGTATTTGTTCGAGGTACTGCTAAGGGTGGAATGTGCCTACTGCGAAAATTATGCGGTACTCTGATTTTAATTTTCTCGAGATGAATCGAGCAATCTATATCTCCGTTAATGATTTTTAATAATATAGCAATACCGGAGACAGTATGTCTATTTGTTAAAGGCAGAAAATGATATCTCTCACAAAGAAAGATTTTCTAATTTAAAGATAATTTAATCTTTAGGTTTTTATCAGTGTGACAACAAGATCGAACAATTTTAGACTCACACTCAATCATACAAATAACCATTGAGGATGAGCAGTCTTGCAGTTTTACCTGCATTATCAGTCACAAAGTCGTTTGTGTTTCGTTTCATACATAATGTATTAGTAAGAATTTAGGAAATTATTTTATGTTTTTTTAAAGAATTCCCGCATTAGGAATTTATCCTGTCTCGCGAAGAATTTTATAAACATACATGAAACGGACACAAAGAATACCCAAACTTAGAACAACAATTTGTGGATCACGCAAAGTGTCGTCCCAAGTGGGGATCGAACGCACAACACTCAGCGTAGTAGTAAGCGGCGTGGCGACCGCTCAAACCACTACGCCATAAGCACAGTAATGAAATGTTTATAGTTATTCTGCTATTTAGGACAGAGACCGATACAACAAATAAAAGATCATAAAGTTTAAAAGGGTTTTGAAGTTAATAATATAATAATAGTATTCTACCACATTCACACAACGCCATCTAGTCCCAAACTAAGCAGAGCTTGTACTATGGGTACTAGACAACTGATATAAATACATATATACTTTTTATTTGTAAATACATACTTATTATACACAGAAACACTCAGACCAAACCAAAGTTTGTTGTGAATAGACAAACAGCCGCGGCAAGGGACTTTGTTTTATCTTATTTATAAAAGTTGTCACAATGTTCGTTCCCGTACTCCTCCGAAACGGCTTGACCGATTCTCATGAAATTTTGTGTGCACATCGGGTAGGTCTGAGAATCGGCCAACATCTATTTTTCATACCCCTAAATGGTAAGGGTGACCGATCCTTAATTTTTTTTTGTTTTGCAATACAACGTTTGCCGGGTCAGCTAGTATATTTATATATATATACATGCTATTACCAGCGGCTTCGGCCGCATGATTGTTTCTTATTTCGTGTTTTTAATTTTGAAGATGACGAACTTCTATACAACCATTCAACCCTTATTTTACCCCCTTAGGAGTCAAATTTGGGCTTATTAATGTAAAAAGCATCCGTTGAAAAAAGTTTATAGCCCCAGCGGTTTAGGTTAGGTTCCTCCACTCGGACCCGACACACCGACACACCGCCCCGCCGAACGAGAGCCCCGGCGGGGTGACGGTCCGAGGGGATTTCCACACGTAAAAAAAAAGGTTGATAAATTAGTCGGTCAGACATATATTTTAGGTACACTATTCTGATTAATTTGGTAACGTAAATAAAATGCATTGTAAATCAATATCAAAGGAATCACAAAGGAATACTTACGTAATAAACACATGGCAACTCCAAAGTGATGGTTAGCCGTCAAGTGGCATATTGTATTACGAGTCTTAGGACTAATTACCTGAAAATAAATCTTTACAATAACAGTTGATAAAAGCTCAATTTGTTTGCAGATACCACGGCCTTTATATTTTGTGTTTATATATTTCATCATCATCCATCCATCATCCTTAGAAAGGAGGTTTTGGCCACTATACCACGCTGGCCAGACGGGCTGATATAGGGTTTGTTTCAAGATTTCCTTATCTTTGCAGTGCTGTTGTTCTGCGTAGTTTGGTTCCTTAGAAGGCTCTTTCGACACCCACGGGATGAATAGGGGTGGTGACATTCGGTATTCTTAATCCGTCACCACACGTTATATCTATTTGTATAGCAGAAATTTCAGAAGCAAAAACAGAGGTAGCTATAAAGATTGCCGCCAGAAGTGAAAACTCAAAACAATTGAGCTACACGTGGCTAGTCTGGCGCAATACGCATACGATGCCCCGAGGGCAAACAAGCGTCGGTACCATAAAAAAAGATTTTTCCTCATTGGGGCTGACCTCACAGATTCCTTTGACAATTACGTATATTTCGTTGACAAGGTCTCCGGTGTTCATCAGAATCTCATTAGGGGATGTATAGAACAGATGGGCGTGCGATGCCAAAATCGTTAATTCTTCAGTTTTAAGCATCTAGAACATAAACATAGTTGAAGAAGGACAACAGTATAATGTAGAAACAAACATTTTGCTTAAAATAATTCGTCCAATATCCTGGAAAATTTCTCTTTCGTATAGAACTCCCACAAGAATAAAGTACACACGGCGAACAAAATAACTGGTCGGGTTTAAAAGTATGTTATTCCGATAAGTATATTATATGACGACCGGATGGCGTAGTGATTTGTGTAGCAGACTGCTATTCCACAGGTCGCGGGTTCGATTCCCGCTCAAGTCAAACATTTGTGTGCATGAACTTTTAATGTTTGATTTGGTCTGGGTGTTTCTATGTATAATATGTATGTATTTACAAAACAAAAGTATATATGTATTTATATCGGTTGTCTAGTACCCGTAGTACAAGCTCTGCTTAGTTTGGGACTAGATGGCGTTGTGTAAATGTGGTAGAATATTATATTATTCGTTTGCATGTGTGTAAGCTGTAAATAACCCGTTTCTTCACTCATACATTTCCAAATAATTATTCTTCCAAAACCATTCTGCCTTATGGTTTAAATTTCTTTTGTAATAGTTCATTAATCATAATGCCAAGTGCTTTGTACTACTGACCAGATATTTTGATTGCTGTGTGTGACCGTCTGTTTTTATGTTGTTGATTAGTTACATAGCCTAGTGGAAGTAGTGGAGGAGGGGTGATGAGGGAGGATAGCGTTTGCAAAGCACCAGTAACATCATCTGTTCTAGTTCTATTTAGCACAAGCAATTGCTTGACACGGACGAGAAAGGTGTTCATGGCGTGCAAACCTTCTTCTTCTTCTGCATATACCCAGTATGGAGCCGGACGAGACACAGGCGCATGCCTGGTAGGATATTTCACACCCGGGAAGATGGCGCCGGTCGTCAGCTGGACCGCCAGGCATACTATTTACTAATTTATTTTCTGCTGAATTTCTGGACTAACCCTGGTCTTAAGTAATGGCTTACCTTCAAGAGACGTATTGAGAGCACGTACTTCAATCGATGCCTTCCAACAATGTCTTGATACACGTGGCCAGGCAAGTCGTAGAAGATAGAAGCGTTTTGTTTGTGTGTCATCTTGTAAGCCTGGAATTGGCACCTGGTACTGAGCATTGGCAAATTTTACAAACTACTGACCATTATTAAAAGAAAGAAGAAAACAAAGTAATGTTTAAATACAAACAAATTTGGAATTACGTCTGTCTGCCATATGACAGCTCTTAACTAATAAGCTGACAACTCTCATATGGTATCATATTAGCTTCAAAAAAGGGTTTATCAATATAAAGGAAGCGAACAAGGGGCTATCTCATACGGTTGGTAGAGAGAGAAAGAAGATTGTTGTGGTCTGGCATCTCTCTCTGCTTTTGTCACTGATTGGCTATTTTAAATGTCCTCTTCAGTATCAGTCAATCAGTGCAGAGGAAAGAGAAATGAAAGACCAAAACAATATTTTTTTACTGTCTTACGGCCACTTACAGATGAACATACAGTTCGCTTTATTTATTATCTCTTAGGCTTTAAATCATAGGAGAGCCATCATCAACAGCCTTTACTAGTCCACTGCTGGACATAGGCCTTTCCTTAGAAATGAGGTTTTGGCCTACTATACCACGCTGGCCAGACGGGTTGGTATAGGCCATAGGACGCCGGCAGGCTGCTACGCCGGCAGGCTGCTCATCGGTTTCGTGAGCGCCAGGATCACAGTCCTGGCGGCGAGACCGATGAGGTGTTTTAAATGCCTGGCCACGGGACACACGCGCGTCAAGTGCGACAGTTGTTTTGACTGCGGCGGACTGAGTTTCCGCTGCGGTCAACCGGGGCATAAGGCGGCAGAATGCTCTGCCGCCCCTCACTGCCCAGTGTGTGCGGCGGGCAATAAGCCCGCCAATCACCAGATGGGGCAGAGAGGCTGCAAGCCTCCCCGCAGTTCTCGGCAGACGTCGGGGGTTAGCCGGTCGACCCAGGCTGCCTCCGATATAGTTCGTGCGTCGACGTCGTCGCCCATGGAGGAGGTTGTAGAGACGATCCAGTAATGGATCAAGTCTCCAACCTCCTGGTCCAGACGAACCTGAACCACTGTGCCGCGGCGCAGGATCTCTTCCTGCAAACCATGGCACAGTGGTCGATAGGTGTTGCCGTAGTCGCGGAGCCCTATTCTGTCCCTCCCCGTCCAAACTGGATGGGTGACTGGGACGGCTCCGTGGCAGTCGTCGGTTCCACGACGGCTCATTCCCCGCCCTTGTCGCTAAGAGACAAGGGCACTGGATATGTTGCCGTCGAGTGGGGGGGGATCACCATATATGGTGTCTATTTCTCTCCCAACCGGAGTTTGAACGACTTCGAGGTTTTCCTGACCAGCTTGGAGACCTCGATACGGCGACTAGCGTCTGGGCACGTCCTTGTGCTGGGGGACTTCAACGCAAAGTCCATTGCGTGGGGTTCCCCCAGGACGGACGCCAAGGGCGAGGCCGTAGAGGAGTGGGCGGCCTCGGTGGGCCTCTGTCTTCTAAACAGAGGCTCCACCAACACGTGCGTGCGACAGCAGGGGGGGTCGATAGTGGACCTCTCGTTCGCTACCCCTGCCCTCGCAGCACGAGTAAGGAACTGGCGTGTCCTGGAAGAGGTTGAGACGCTCTCGGATCACCTGTATATCCGATTTGAGCTCTCCCGGACCCAGGACTCCAGTAGGGGTCACGTGGCGCGGCGTTTATCCCGCTTTCCGCGGTGGGCTGTTGCCAGGCTGAACCGGGACCTACTAGAGGAGGCAGCCATAATTCACTCGTGGCTGTCTCCTCAGGCTCCGACCGAGGAGGTCGACGTGGGGGCTGGCCGCTTTCGCGATGCGATTACGCATGTATGCGATGCGGCCATGCCCCGCGTTCGAGGTCGTCGGCCTCCAAGGAAGGAGGTCTACTGGTGGTCCCAGGAGCTGGCGGACCTCCGTGCGGCCTGTACACGTGCCCGGAGGTCCTACACGCGCAGTCGGCGGCGTCACCGTGGAGACGGTGAGGAGGACCGGCTTCATGAGGAGTACCGACGGGCGCGGAAAACTCTGAAGCTGGCCATTAGCCGCGCCAAAGAAGAAAAAAGACAGGAGATGCTGGAGGGTCTTAATCGTGACCCCTGGGGTCGCCCTTACCGCGCGGTGCGACAAAAGCTCCGCGCGTCGGGCCCCCCCCTTACGGAGACTCTCCAGCCCAGCTTCCTGCGAGAAGTGGTTGTGGGCCTTTTCCCACAACGGGCGGAACACACTCCCCCGTCGATGGCCTCCTTGGCCAGAGACGACGGGGAGCACGGGGAGGATAATGTTCCGCCCGTCCGGGAATCGGAGGTAGGGGCGGCTGTTCTACGGATCCGTTCCAAGAACACCGCCCCTGGGCCAGACGGGGTACCGGCCCGAGTGCTGGCCCTGGCCCTCAACCACATGGCAGACCGCCTCGGGGAGGTGTTCGACGCTAGCTTGGCGTCGGGACGCTTCCCTGAGTGCTGGAAGAGCGGGAAGCTGGTCCTATTGAGGAAGCCGGGACGGCCTGCCGATTCGGTCGCGGCCTATAGGCCCATCGTGCTGCTGGACGAGGCGGGCAAATTGTTTGAGAGGGTTCTTTCTGCCCGCATCGTCCGGCACCTCTGCGAGGTGGGCCCCGATCTGTCGGACGCCCAATTTGGTTTTCGGGCGGGGCGTTCGACGGTCGACGCCGTGTTGCGCCTGAGGGCCGTGACCGAAGAGGCCGTGAGCTGTGGCGGCGTGCTGTTGGCGGTGTCACTGGACATCGCCAACGCATTCAATAGTCTGCCATTCAGCTGCATCAGGGAAGCACTCCACTATCATGGGGTGCCAAAGTACCTGAGGCGGCTGGTGGCAGACTATTTAGAGGAGCGTACCGTCGTGTACGAGGACCGAGAAGGTAATCTGAGGTGTCGGCCCATGTCGTGCGGTGTTCCACAGGGGTCTGTTCTTGGACCCCTCTTGTGGAACATAGGGTACGACTGGGCCCTTCGCGCCGATTTCCCCCCCGGGCTGGGTGTAATCTGTTACGCAGACGATACCCTCGTGACAGCCCGGGGGGCAAACTTCCAAGAGGCGGCGCGCCTGGCCACAGGGGGAGTCTCCCTGGTGGTCGGGCGCATTGAGGCGCTGGGCTTACGGGTGGCCCTAGATAAGACGGAGGACGGACGGACGGACCTGTTATTCCATGGGCCCCGTCGTGGTCCACCCCCTGGCGCCTCCATCGTGGTCAACTCGGTCCTCGTACCGGTTCGGGCCCAGATGAAATATCTGGGCCTGATCCTCGACGGGAGGTGGCTCTTCGACGAGCACTTCCGACAGCTTGCTCCAAAGCTGGTCGGCGCTGCGTCTGCCCTAGGGCGACTCTTGCCCAATATGGGTGGACCCAGCGTCGCGACAAGACGGCTGTACACGGGGGTTGTCCGGTCAATGGCACTGTACGGTGCACCGGTGTGGGCGGCGGCTCTGACCGCCCAGAATAGGGTACGCCTCTGGCGCCCTCAGAGGGTAATGGCGGTCAGAGCCATACGCGGTTACCGCACCGTTTCGACGGAGGTGGCATGCGCATTGGCCGGAACTCCCCCGTGGGATTTGGAGGCGGAAGTGCTCGCCGAAGTTTATCGGCGAGTGGCTGACTTCCGGGCGGAGAGCGGATTTCGCCCTCCGCCCGAGGATGTGCGCGAGTGGCGCGAAGCCGCTCGCCGAGCCACGATGGCTCGTTGGTCGTTCCGGCTGGAGACTCCACGCGCTGGCTTTGCCGCCGTGGAGGCTCTCCAGCCGGTCATCGCCGAGTGGGCAGGGCGGCAGCACGGGACCCTTTCCTTCCGACTGACGCAGGTGCTTTCCGGGCACGGTTGCTTCGGAAAGTACCTGCACACGGTCGCTAGGAGGGAACTGAGTCCCGCCTGCCACCACTGCGACTGCAGTGAGGACTCGGCCCAGCACACGCTGGCGGTCTGCCCCGCATGGGCGGCGCAGCGCCGGGCCCTCACTGCAGTCATCGGAGTGGATCTCTCGCTACCGGCCGTAGTACGCTCCATGGCCGGTAGCGACAGTTGTTTTACCGCGGTCGCAACCTTCTGCGAGGTAGTAATCTCGCGGAAGGAGGCGGCGGAGAGGGCCCGGGAGGACGACCTCCACTCGGACCCGATCCGCCGCCGGCGAACCGGGCGGCGGAGGCCCGCCTACCACAGCCTCATGCCGCCCTGAGTGTGGCCGCGGGTGGACGGGGTGGGTTTCCCCTTCACCCGCATTAGTTGGCCAGCCGCGAGGGGGCGGCGTCCGCGTGTGCCGGACGTCGCCTATAGAGAGGAACAACACTGAGACGGAGCCCGCACCAGGAGCGGGCTGGCGCTAGGAGGGGTCTGGATGTCTTAACAACAGCTGTTCCCGGATCCCTCCTGTTACAGGCGCAGAGTGGCACACCGTGTGGTTTTAGTCGGTCCGAGTCCGACACACCACCCCGCCGCAAACCCCGGAGGGGTGACGGTCCGAGGGGATTTCCACACCTTAAAAAAAAAAAAAAAAAAAGGCCATAGGGTTTGTTTCAAGTTTTCCTTCTGTCTGCAGTGCTGTTTTCCTTCTGTCTGCAGTGCTGTTGTCCTGCTTAGTTTGCTTCCTTAGTCAGTTCTTACGATACCCACAGGATGAATAGGGATGGTGACACTCTGTATTCTTAATCCGTCACCACACGGACAGCCATGCTTCGGCACAAATCGGCCGGCTCGGCCGTGACCTCACAGAAAACCGGTTTAAGCAATTCTTTTATTCCTTTTCACCAAGAGAGTGATGTTACCGGAGTTCAAACCTCTCTTGTCCTGGGGCCCAGTTCTTGAGGGATTCAGTTTAAACCAACTGGTATTTTTTCACGGACTTTTACTGGCCTAAATGTAATTATACCAAAGAAAACGTCGCCGAAAAAATGGTAGATTTACATCATAATTATTCTTTAGAAATTCACTGAGAACCTTACCTTATCCGTATACCAGCAGAGCTGTAGATACGTAATAAATCTTTTTCGTAGCTCTGGGTCCACGTCATTCCTTATAAGGAAGTGCTTCACTGTGGCTATGCGAGCGTCATAGTCCTCTCTACAAGAAAATTATAGAAAAAGGAATTTCATTTTGTCTTCACGTCTTATGAGCTAACCGTTTTAATTCAATGCGTTATTTGGTCTTTGGTTTAAAAAAAAGTCTATTGGAGACATAATAATGCTTTTTAGGGTTCCGTATCTCAAAACGAAAAAACAGAACCCTATAAGATCACTTTGTTGTTCGTCTGTCTTTCGGTCTGTTAAAGCCCTTTATCTCGAGAACGCGTGAAGGTATCGAGTTGAAATTAAAACCATATACTCAGGTCTACGGTACCTTAAGGCTGTAAAATTAAACCTAACTAAAATAACTTAAAAAAAGATACGGCCGTTTCGACACTCTCAAGGGAATCAAAATTTATAATGTACTTCCCGTTCGGGCACGCCGTCATCGCGGCGGTAAGACTCGTTATGGAGGATTGGCTCGAGAGGCATCACGGGACCCTCATACCGACTGACACAGGTGATCACTGGGAAAGAATGTTTTGGGGATCACCTGTATCTGATCCGCAAGGAGCCAACGCCTGAGTGCCACCACTGCCACCACCACCACTTGGACAATTAAAGAATGAAGAAAAATGTTCTTCCTCAAAGCTTTGAAAAACTAAAAAATGTATCACATTGTGTTTGCGTTAAAGCGGTTTGCATATCGTGTCCAAATTTGAGCTCAATCGGTGTTGAACTTTTCGAGTTTTTGAAGCGTACACAAACCAAGTTTTGTTATTTCAAAACAATAATATATTGATTGTCGATCAAAGTAATGGATTGACCAAGTGTATAATGACAAAGCCTTGACAAACTAAATCGAAATATTCCTGAAGAGAAGAGTTGCTCATTTTTAGGCAGAATTGCTAACATATTGGAGTGTGTGTGCACATCGGAACAGAGTTTATACACACCAGGATTACTGGAATAATGAAACGGAACCTATCAGAAAAATACTATTATCAGAGTAAAGTACCAGTACCTCAAAGCCGTAGTGACCATAATGGTGGCAGAGTAGACAGCTTCCATGAAAGTGCGCAGTACAATACAGACCTCGATAATGATAATAGTGTACATAACATTGCTCATGTCGTCCTTGCCCCATGTCTCAATATGAGCTGTAGAAAAATAAGAACCCGTAAGAAAGTTAAGACTCCTCGAGGGAGTTAAGCAGTTATTCCCGACACCTGTCTTTGGAGGATCAATTAAACTCTTCAGAAGGCGCAGTATAACAATCTTTAGCAAAAAATTCTGATAAAGATTTCGAACAGAACTGGCATAAGTAATTAGGTAAAAAAATAACTTATTATAATTCGATTTCATGTGCGTATTGTAATTAAGTTTCAGATTTAGAAGATATTTAGATGAATTCAGGTGAATGTGTTGTTACCGTTGAACCGTTTTTCTAAGATCAAAAAATAAGTGTTTATCATTTCATTTACTCTTAACCTTAGAGAAATGTGTATGAAAATGGTATTGAAATATATTTATAAATTAAACATTATGAAGTGGATGAATGCCAGGTCGATGACCAATCACAAGTCATACACCGACATCAGTATCAAATATGTGATTCTACAATATCTCGGTATGGCTACTAAGCCGGAGGAAGACTTCTGGTTTTAGTAGTCAGTCAAGTTAGAATCGCTAATTCATCAACAGCCTTTAACAGTCCACTGCTGGACATGGGCCTCTCCTTAGAAAGGAGGTTTTGGCCTACTATACCACGCTGGCCAGACGGGTTGGTACAGGGTTTGTTTCAAGTTTTCCTTCTCTTTGTAGTGCTGTTGTCCCGCGTAATTTGCTCCCTTAGTCGGCTCTTACGACACCCACAGGATGAATAGGGGTGGTGACATTCCGTATTCTTAATCCGTCACCACAAGGATAAATATGGCGAATCGCTAATTACTGGCGATTAAATATATTCTTATCGTACAAAAACACTCAAACATTAAACGCTTTTGGACATACAAAAAAGATACTGGTATGTCCAAAAGCTTTTTCAGTTTTCTTTACCTCAATATAAGAAATCAAAACACTAACTTGTAAACATAATCATTGAAATTGCCCAGTACAGGCCAAAAGTGATCCTGGCGGGAACGGTTTCCTCGTCAAGTTCTTTCTTTTCCCAATAGGGGCTATGTGTAAAGTTTGTCACCAAGCAGTAGCCGGACCTGCACAAACATTTATTTGGAGCTTTTTGTGGATTTACCTTAATCCTTTTCACTAAGGCAGTCCATTGCTCTTGATCTGGACAAAAATTAAACTTTCGAAAACAATAATAAAGCCTTTTGATTTATTATGATTATTGATTATTATTTTTAGATCTTGTCAATGTGTATGTTCTTGTAGTAGGCTTTTATTCGATTGTAGGCTCGCCTTCTTTGTGAATGCGTTTTAATCTAATGGATAATTTTGACTCTACTTTGTGATGGCAATAAATACTAAATTCTAGACAATATGTAGTAAAGAAATTGCCAATAGTAAGGTAACGTAACTGCAGCTCCTTTTGAAAATACTTGGTATGCAGTATTATCAATTAAAAAAGAAACAATGACGGTTTTCTGAAATGTTGCACGTGAGATGGCAGCACTGTAGCGTCAGGTCCAACCACCTGTCAAAACACATACACGATTTGTATTTTTCGATAATTTTTTGGTTTATTCATTCTTAAAAACGTTACAAAAGGAATATTGTTTTCTAAAATGCTACAGTGTTGTGCAGTGCCTATGTGTGCAAATAAAACTTTTGCGCCTCTCTTTTGGAGCTCAATCTTCAGTTCGGCAACCTTTCTCTAGCCGTAATCTATAATAAACTCAATAACACTTCCAAATTCATAGAATTTTACTAAAATATTATCTGTTCGGTAAGAATCTGTGCTATCTGACAGCTGTTTGGACCTGACGCATACGAAGCGCCATCTGGTGGCTGAAAAAATATCGAAAACCCTCATTCGTCTACTATTCACGCCCAATAATTAGAACAATCGACAGATGGTAGATGAAATGTATCTGACATTCATCCGTCGGGCAAATCTAACTCAGTTCCTGCTACACTCTTCCGTCCCTTTTCACAAAATTAGTCCATCAGATTGCAAAGATTGAAAGATGTCACACATAAAAATTTACCAAATCATAATGTAAAGTAACAATTGGTAAAAATAAATAACTTTTAGAACACTACATACAAAGGAAATCGGATATATGTAAACAATAAATTGATTATGACATTGAGATGGAGATTACTGGAGATGAAATAAGAGATTACTAACTGGAAACACATGAAGGCCTGTTGCATTGCCGCAATGAGGTAGCAGGCTATCAGCAGTAGAAGCGTATACGAACAGAATCGCAGCAAGTTTCTGTGGTACACGCATTTCTCTTCTATCACATTTAGCACACGAAACACCTTTAAGGCAAAGAATAAGCAGAGAAATCAGGTACGCCTGCTGCCATCCGCATGTCGTTAAGTCGCTAAATGAAAATCATTATGATAATTGAATGGATTTAGGAGCACATGTTTTCTGTTATCCATTATGTCAGTTTTTGCTTTTATGTGTATGTATATTTTTAAATTTTATAATCGGTATTCGTGTTTGTGCCTCTAGAAAAGTATTTTCATACCTTCGGTAGTCTTAGTATTTTGTTGATGCCACCAAAATGCCCATCGCCAATTATTTCAAATATGGGCAAGGTGCCCACCAAGTCCAACACAAACCATTTACTTCGCATCTGCTGTGATGATGTTTGCGCAAATGTTATTGGAACACCTGAAACAGATAAACATTATGATTACTTAGATTCCGGATTCTTCTTCTTTTTCAATCTTTTTTGTAAAAGTTTGCAAGAGCACACTAAATCTGTTTAGTAATGAGCATGATAACAAAGGACCCGTGGCTAAGTGGTAATTGAGAAGGTTAACATTTGGCAAAGTTTAAGAATCCTAGCCAGGCCAGTCTATAGATGGCAGATCATTCTTAACACATTAAAACCCCCTCAACACCCTTTTTTTGTGAAAAACACTCGTAGGAAGAAGAAGACTGAGCATAATAACAAATGTCATCCGTTCTATGAAAAAAAAAGGTTAGGTACATTGGCAAATGTTAATTTTTTTTTAACTGACTTCAAAAAAGGTGGCGATTCTTAATATACTTATTTATGTTTGCTACTTCAGAACTCCGTCTTTTTTTGAACATATTTGGAAAATTCCATTTTTCATTGTGCGGGTATACTTTTAGTTTGGTTCCATTCAAATTCGAAGAAAAAATGTCACTTCTAAAGGTGGAGAATTATAAAATGAAGAATTCCGTTTATTACAAATTTATTCATCATGGAGTAGTTAAAGTCGGTGATACTTTTTTTCTAAGTTATCTCGTCACTTCAGCCTCCTTTAAAATAATATGCTTTCCTCACCTTCTTCGACATGAGCACCAGTCGAAAGACGCACAATATGATCGACGACAAAGATCAAAGTGTTTATATATTCGAAGAACGTAAATGACAAGTCCACTTCTTTCTTGTACACCAGGTTGTAAGGATAAATCTGCGATGAATAAGAGGCTTGCGTTAGGCAGCAGGAGTAAGGGCCTGATGCAGATTGCATGTCTTCTCTATACGGTTCGTATAATGAATATATATATTACGTAATATATATATATATATATATAATACACTAGCTGAGACCCGCGGGCAACACCGCCGGGCGAAGCTAGTCTAAAAAAAGTATCCACTATCTGCCAGTGAAAGTCCCGTCGAAATCGGTCCAGCCGTTCCAGAGATTACCCGGAACAAACAGACAGACAGACAGACAGACAGACAAAAATTGTAAAAAATGTTAATTTGGCATATGTACCGTGTAAACATACATATGCATTTAGTAAAAAGCGGTTATTTTAATATTACAAACAGACACTCCAATTTTATTTATTTGTATAGATAATAGATATACAATAAAGTTATTAAAATATGTATTTGTGAGAATATTTCTGTTTTTGGAACCCTAGCCACCGTAGCTTGTCCCTGTACCCGATATCATGGGACACAATTTTTTAAATATATTGTTCTTACTTACTATATTTCAAATTTTAATTTATATTGTGTTAAATTATGGTAATACGGAGAATAAGAATATTAATTATGATTAATAAGACCCGTTATCTAGACCCAAAGGAGTTCTAGTTAGTAGAGTTCTTCAAAAATATATTTTGGAAAATATACAAATCATTTGCGTAGAAACATCCATATTTACGAAATATAAGTATATTGGTGCAACAGCAATAATTCATTGATTAACCTTGATAATCCCATAGTCAAAATTAGTAGTTAAATCGTTTACCAATTTGAAAACGAAACGTAACGTAACAAAATAACGTTTCATCATCACATATCCTACTACATTATTTACCCAGATGTTTAAAAAGAAATTGTACCCACAATACAAATACAGACGATGAGAACAGATACTGCTGAATGCCAGGCCAGCAGCAATGAGGACCACGGCCGGACAATACAAGGGAACGTCTGCCTCAGACATATCTCATCTGACTCATCTGTCAGCGTGGATTCCAACCTCTGGATGAATAGAAAACGTGAGAAATTAACTTTTTGCCGGGCACTTGATCAACTTCTAACCATATAAATACAAATAAGAGTATAATAAGAGAGATTACGCCATAATTGAGGATTGTGAGAGCCAACAACCCTCTCCCTCCTTTATTCTGACGTGGGCACTTAAAGGGCGGCAATGTTCTTAAAACTCTTGAGTTTTAGGTGTCCATGGGCGGTGGTAATCACTTATCATGAGGTGATCCATCTCTTCACTAGCCCATTATACTATGGAATGATTGATCTAAGCCGGTATGTCCACCGTGCTAATTTACTCTTTAGGTACGTACATATAAGATCCAATGTCATCAACTTACATTCCTCATGATGTAACAGTTGGCAATTTCCAGAAACACATCAGGGTTGGCTAAGAGTGAGTTGCCTTTGGCATCCTTCATCTCCTTCAGCGCTAATAGGTTACGGTTGAAATGGAGGATGCTACTTTTATGCCTGTTTGAAAACAAATTGTTATTTTTATAAATATTTTTTGATACACTGTTTCATTGTTTTGTTCATCTTTCTCTTCGTAAAACATTTAATTGATTATTAGAAACATGTTTTAAAATATCCATATGCATGACATTAATAGAAATATCTTTCATACATCATCATCATCATCATCATCATCATCAGCCTATCGCAGTCCACTGCTGGACACAGGCCTCTCCCATTGCACGCCCGATTTTGGGCTACATACATTATTTATCATACATACATTCACCATAAATTACTTACACGGCTTCGCGGGGAATCTTCATAGCGTAATGGCGTTTTACTCTGTTTATGTGTTCCTGGAATAATGATCAAATTTACCGTAACCGAAAACTATCAATTACCTACATATTATTATATAATTCTGCTGATAACCGCCTTTTCAAGTTCCAATTATACTTTTCCATTTTTCACCTGAATTTATATACTTATACATACAGACATTTGAATTCCAAGAAATCGCTGAAGCCAACAGCTATTCGATTTTCTAAGATGTTTTTGTTAGTATTTTAAGCATTAGCATCAACGTGAAGTGATATTACAAGGTAATTCATGTCAAATCAAACATCGAATTGAGCCGCCTTAAAAAAGTAGTCTTCACAATAGAATAACTTTTGCTAATCAAATAACTGCACGGAGGGCGTAGTGGTTTAAGCGGTCGCCACGCCGCTTACTTACTGCTACGCTTAGTGTTGTGGGTCTGATCCTCACATGGGACGACACTTTGTGTGATCCACAAATTGTTGTTCTGAGTCTGGGTGTTCTTTGTGTCCGTTTCATGTATATTTGCAAAGTCCCCCGCGACCCAGGATATATTCCTAGTGCGGGAGTTGTCTTTTTCAAAAATAAATAAATTGCTATAACCTGGAACGCATAGTTTTAAGACTAATGGATGTTGACTAGCATGGAACAATAGCTTTTAGATGTACTTAAATAATATCAACGAATATGTAACTTGTTATAAACTAACTTTAAAAGCAGAATTTATAGGTTTCCCGTGGTTCTGGTGAGCCGAGTACTTCAGCACAACTCGCCATAGGTCGGCTGCATTCAACACGTGAGCGGTGCAGAATGTGGCGGCTCTGACTCTAAGATGTGATTTGCAGGCTGCTGCAGCCACTGCTCCACCGCAAGGATTCAAAACTGTGCCGCGGGTAAACCTAAGTATTGCGGTGACGTCATCTTCTGCTGTTAACATCTGTACGAACAGATATTAAAAAGAAACAACTGCACCAGAAGGAGGATTTTATATTTTTCGAGGGTATGTTGTTTGGCGCTTTCTGTAGTCTAAACAGCTTGAGGAATTTTGGCGTTTGAAGTGTCGTTAGATAGAAAAATTAAAATTATCTTTTTATAAATTTTAAGAACCTATACATTTTCTTGCAGTCGGTTTTTTGTTCTATTTTGCTTAATTATCTTGTTTATTGATGTCTCTTTCTTGACCAAGCGTCTCCAGGGACAGGACGGACACACAGGCGATGCCAGCTTCTCATTCCAGTTTCTACATTTGAGACCTGTGATGTTACTCAACCTAGCTCAATAGTAAAATTTGTTCTTCTCACGCAATTTATCTTACTTCTATGTTCCCTCTAGAAATTATTCCAATTAGGATTTACCGTGGGAGAGCCATGTTTTATATGTCTTATATTATATTTTGATATTTATACTATGATATAGTATGTAATAACTATATAAACGTATACCTAGTACCTATATATCTGTAGGTTTTTTATTTAGTACCATTCTTTAATTTAATCTCATTCTTACTCGTTTCAAGCATACACCTGCCACACACATCTTTGCAACACCCAAATGATTGACTGAATGAAAATGCCTGTGGCATTAGTGTTTTAAGTCCGTTAAGTCGCAATAAATAAAAAAAAACGATTTTAAGCTTTGCTCTTCACCAAAAAATCGTGATTACCAGAATGATCCTGGGCGGGGGACTCAAAGGGTCTATGAGCAGCGGTAGTACTTACCATCAGATGACTTGTCGGCCCGTTTGCCCCTCTGTACTATAAAAAAGAAGTATGTAAAAGGAGACAGGAAGGCAAAAAGAAAATGGGAGGAAAAGTATCTAACATATTACGATTGGGGAGTGTAATCAATAACTCGAGCAAGTTGGGTTATGAAGAGGCTCGAAATAGTTTTCTCTGGAAGTCAGACTACTAAAGTTAAACTACTGAGTAGTCTGTAATAACGACCGTACCTCAATATCTCCGTAAGTGATGTAAATAAATGCAGACTTTCTTTCGTTACGTTTGATGATTGCATCTCCAGGTATATAGTGTATAGTCTCCACTCTTTTCGCCAACTCTGATAGGAACTGATACGAGAGGTCTCTGAGGATCCGAGACTGAATGAAGAAAGAAATTAACGTTTATAGGAGCCACCTTGAGTTCAGTTCATTAATTAATTATATAGTTAACTTAATAAAGAGTTTAAATGTTTATAACAAAATATAATACTGTACAGTTTAAGTAGCTAATAACTCTTAATAATATTGTAAATGCAACAGTAACTGTCTAAGGTTTTAACACATTTAAGCCTTAACTGCTCAACTGATAATCACAAAATGCCTTTAGAAATATCGGTATAGGTTACCAGCAATGATTGATATCATTGGGTACCACTCATCCCGACAAGTCGCGAAAAAAAAAAAGTTGGAAAACTCGTTTACGAGAGCTACGCTTCGTGGAAAAGCTAAAACTATCCTGACTCGAGAGGGAGGGGCTCCAAGGGCAGCAACGCACTTGTGACTTTTGAGTAAAATGTGTCCATAGGTGGTGGTAGTTGCTTACCATCAGGTGACCCGCCTGATCGTTTGCCCATTTATACCATAAAAAGAAAACTATCCATACGGATGTACAACATGCTTGACTTGATCAAAAAACAAGAAAATGATTTGTAATGTGCATGACAAAGAAAAAACCTCCTTCGTTTTGTTCTAATTTTATTTCTGTCTGATATCTTACCTTCTGTGTAGCTTCAAAGTAGATATCTAAATTAACGATAGCTGGTAGTGTTGGAGGGAAAGTGGGGAGCAGTTTAGTGGCTGAGACGGCGCGCTGCTTATGCCAGTACATGCGGTAAAACTTCTGGACTTTCGCCCTCAAGCTGTCTGGCACGTGGGAGTCTTTCTGTATTTTATTATTAATTTATTAATTTTTTCAGTTATGTAGACACCAGATATGTCTTCTCTTGCTATCTAAGAATAGTCTACTCAAGAGGTTGTAATTTTAATCGGTGGTACAGCATTACGAACTATAATATTAATAACAGACAATATTACTAGCTAACTAATAACAAGGGGTAACTATCCAGTCTAAAGAAATAATATCTGTCACTGTTTTTTAATAAAAAAATCGGTCAGGTACGAGTCGAACTCGTGCGCCGAGGGTTCCGTACCTACCCAGATTTTACGTAGATTTTCGCGAAAATTTGTAAGTATTAAAATTTATCCTAATTTTCAACTTATTTTTATTTTTTGGAATTATTCCTTTATTTGTGCTCTAAGACGTTTCTTTTTGCCAAATTTCGTGATTCTAGGTCAACGGGAACTACCATATACTCGTAGGTATTCGACCCAAAACCTATAGGGTACTTCCGGTTGACCTAGCACAAGTAAAGAGAAAATTCTGAAAAATAAAGAAAGTTGAAAATTAAGGTAAATTTTGGTACTTACTAGTTTTCACGAAAATCGAAATTTGCCCATATCTTTTTATCGTGTTGACTCAGGACCTTGATTTTTATACACCTAATAGAGACCATAGACGTCAGTATCTGGTATGAATTTCAACTTGCTAGGTCTACCCGTTCCTTAGAAAATCGGTGGTGGCACACGGACAGATGGACAGACGGACAAGAAAGGGTTCCTTTTTTACCTTTTGAGGTACGGAACCCTAAAAACTTACATTTATTGTTTGCTCTATTGTTTGATATAGATCTATCGGTATGCAGAATTTTATCGTTTACACTTCATGCTGTACAACCTAATGTTTAAAAATAAAAACAAATTAAAGAAAAGAACGAGCAATCAGTGTCTGCATTCCATCAAGTGTTTAAGAACCTGTCAAATATATTTTCAAGAACAAATTCCTCTGGGGCTAACAACTATCAAATAGTTTCGAAGCACGTATTGAATTCACATAAAACTTTAAAGCACACATTCTTACCATATCCTCTATAATCAGCTTGTATCTAGACCGAAAAGTTTCTTCAGGACTCATGTAGAGGCTTATCACCAGGGAAAGGGAAGCCACAGCGGCACCAGTGACCACAATGCATCCAGATATGATCACCAACAAGCAGGTGATGCGCTCGATATCGTTTTGAGGTGGGACAGGCATTCTGGTCATAATTGGATGAATAGAAATGGGTAATATTCATAATTATTTTAAATCTATACTAATATTATAAAGCTAAAGAGTTTGTTTGTTTGTTAGTTTGAACGCGATAATCTCAGGAACTACTGGTCCGATTTGAAAAATTCTTTCAGTGTTAGATAGCCCATTTATCGAGGAAGGCTATAGGCTATATATCATTACGCTAAGACCAATAGGAGCGGAGCACCAATGAAGAATGTTTCAAAAACGGAGAAAATTTATTACTATTGAGAGACGCAGACGAAGTTGCGCGGGTAAGCTAGTATACTATATAACTATATATATACTATAACTGTCAATATTGTTATTAATTTAATTATCATCGTGACGGTCTGTATTCTTAATCTGTCACCACACGGACTGTCTGTCTGAGTGATGAACTTATTATTTTTAAAGTTAAAGTAAAACGTTTGGCTATAAGCCAGTACTATACAGCTAGAAATACACCTGTATACGCTTGTTATTTAGATCTCTCAAAAGCTTTTGACCTTGTTAATTATGACAGGCTGTGGCAGAAGCTACAATGTGATACGAATCTACCACGTGAGATTGTATCTCTATTTAAATATTGGTACAGTCAGCAGAAAAATAGGGTAAGATGGTTGGATGTGCGGTCGGACATGTACAGGTTGGAGTGTGGCGTGAGGCAAGGTGGTATATCCTCGCCTCGTCTCTTTAATCTGTATATGAATGGGCTGATCGGTGAGCTTAGTAGCACAAACATAGGTTGTTCTATTGACGGTGTGTGCATAAATAATATAAGCTACGCTGATGACATGGTGCTGCTGAGCCCATCGATTGGTGCACTACGTAGGTTGATAGGTATCTGTGAGACATATGCGGCGAGTCATGGTCTCAAGTATAATGCCAAAAAGAGTGAGTTTATGATCTTTAAAGCTGGTACCAAATGCTACTCAATTGTACCTCCAGTCACTCTTTGCGGAACTCCTTTAAAGAGAGTTTATAAGTTTAAGTACCTTGGGCATTGGGTCGCCGATGACTTATCAGATGACCTTGACATTGAGAGGGAGCGTAGGGCGCTGTCTGTCCGGTGTAATATGTTGGCTCACAGGTTCGCACGTTGTACCACACCAGTAAAAGTTACTCTTTTCAAAGCATATTGTCAGTCCTTCTACACTTGCAGCCTGTGGACTAACTTTACGCAGCGGGCGTACAGCGCACTACGCGTCCAGTACAACAATGCTTTCAGGATGCTATTGAATCTGTCGAGGTTTTGCAGTGCATCAAACATGTTCGCGGAGGCACGTTGCGATGACTTTTATGCAATCATAAGGAAGCGGAGCGCGTCAATGTCCAATCGACTGCTGAGCAGCACCAATGGCATCCTGAGAGTATTGTCCGAGAGGTGGGATCTTCCAATCCTACAAAGGTGGATGCGTCTGCATGCTAGCGCATCCCCACGATTTATTTTTTAATTTGTTTTTGTGTTAATGTAGAACTAACATAGTTGTAAGATTACTGTTACTAACATGTCTATGGACTAATGTCTGAAAATAAATAAATTTATTATAAGACAATATGACGTCACAAATTTTCATTGTATACAAACTGCCACAGTATAGTTATATCCCTGAAGGGCTAGAGAGAGGCGTATTTTAAAACTATTATAAAAAGGCCGCAAATATTTAAATGGCTTAACATATTTGCTTTTGTTATAGCAAAAGACATAATCGATCCACTCATTTATCGGTCATTAAAATAAACACTCATTAAAATAAAAATCGTTCCGTTACCGGTAAGAAGCTATAATGCCACAGAAACTTTTAAGACGTCTTTTATTTCGGTCGAGGTTTATACGCGAATTCATTTGACAGTAAATTAGCCTGTTAATATTAATATAATAATATACAAGTATAATAATCAATACTGATACCTATAATCTATACTAATATCATAAAGTAAAAGAGTTCGTTTGTTTGTATGCAAGAAAATTGAAAAAATACGGACAATTCTTTTTTTAATCTCATAATACAGAAAGTTAGCAAAAATATTTTAGTGTTGGAAAGCCCATTTAACGAGGAAGACTACAGAAACACTACGCTACGGCTAATGGGAGCATCAATAAAAAAACGAGTGTGCTTCAGACCACACGACTGAAGTAAAACTTCTTGGCTATTAGAGAAAAAGAGAAAGAAAATGTGTGCTCGCACCTCTCTCCCTTGCCCCTACAGTAATATACGAAACGTAACTCTCTCTCTCTTTCTATCTTCACTATTATTTCTCCCTCTCAACTTCCGTTCGCCTCGCCCGATCACACTGTTCGTAACGCACTCGTCAAACATTCACCAGCTTACTCCCCAAGTCAAGCGTGCGTAAAGAAGTTTTACTTAATTTTTTTTTGAAAAAAACGGGGAAAAATTATTCCTTTTCAGAAATATTCTTTCTCTTTTAAATTTTGAGAAATACAGTCCGAGAAGTTGTGTGGATCAGATAGAATAAAATAATATTACCCAATAGGTATGAACATCTTGTTGACGATGTACAGGGAGCTGATTAACTTGCTCGCATCACTTTCATTGGAGTCCTTGGACACGATCTGCACACCCTTCCGGCGAACTGGACGCGGGAGGGGAGAGAACTCTTCTTGCAACTTGAAGAAAACGTAATTACATTGAAAGCTGACGTAGCAAATAGTTTTTCTGATCTCTAAGATGGTTTCATCACATTCGCCTTTATCCTCATTGACATCACTCTTTGATCATCATTCATCATTACAACATCATAACAACAGCCTTTAATAGTCCACTGCTGGACATAGACCTCTCCTTAGAAAGGAGGTTTCGGCCTAATATACCACGCTGGCCAGACGGGTTGGCACAGGGTTTGTGTCACACAGCACTGCAAAAACAAGGAAAATTTGACTCAAACCCCTTTTTTTTTTTTTTTACTTGCGGAAATCCCCTCGGATACCACATACCGGTGGCAATGTCGGACTCGAACCGACTAAAACCGCACGCCGTCTCAGGTACCAGTAGTCGGGGAACCAGGTGTACCCTAGAAAGAAAATCCCTGGTCCCCCACGCACCTCGAGCCATCTACGGCTGGTAGACGACCCGCCCTGTGTGGGAACCCCCATGTTCCCTCTGTGCTCCCGGAAGAGTGCACGCGGTTCGCATCGTGCTGGCCGCCACCCCGGCCTGGCCTGAGTTAACCCTAAACATACAAACTCACAAACTTTACCTCTTTGTAATAAAAAAAATAGATCTCTCACAGTCTTCTGTCTTATTCAATCACTCACTGTTCGTTTTTTTTCTTGCATACAAACCTTGTCCTGACAATAACGAACACAAAAAAAGAATAATCAGTTTTGGTGCAGTCGTTTGGAAGCTCAGTTCAAGATTAATTCGTTTATATGATTAAATTGGACTTATACAGATTAATTGATTTAGATGTATGTGTTTAGATTTATGTAAGTATGCTTATCAGGAATTTAGTTACCATTATACAAGGACTACCTAATTTGGACTGCCGTGTAAGGTATATCAATTCACTATTATTTTATTTATCATTATTATATACCTCAGCCTATGCTTGTCCACTGCTGGACATAGGCCTCTCCCAATGATTTTCAGCGGGGACGGTTGATTGCGGCCTGCATCCAACGGTTTCCGGCAACCTTTACCAGGTCGTCCGTCCATCGGGTAAGCGGTCGTCCCACACTGCGCTTTCCAGTACGTGGTCTCCATTGGAGAACCTTGCTGCCCCATCGGCCGTCAGTTCTCCTTGCTATGTGCCCTGCCCATTGCCACTTGAGCGCGCTAATCCGTTGGGCTATGTCGACCACCTTTGTTCTCCTGCGGATCTCCTCGTTGCGGATTCGCTTTCACGCAGGGAAACGCCAAGCATATAATTATTATTAATAGACATCTAAATTAAAGTGAGATTACTAACCATATTTATATGCAACCAGATCCAAGCCCATGTGATTCTTAATACCATAAATATGTAACAATACTTTAGGGTTGTTCCAAGAACGCTGCCTTTTAAATTGTAATCGTTTAAGGACCCTGAAAAATTATCACACATCAACAGCCTATACTAGTCCACTGCTGGACATAGGCCTCTCCTTAGAAAGGAGGTTTTGGCCTACTATACCACGCTGGCCAGACGGGTTGGTATAGGGTTTGTTTCAAGTTTTCCTTCTCTTTGCAGTGCTGTTGTCCTGCTTAGTTTGCTCCCTTAGTCGGCTCTTACGACACCCACGGGATGAATTGGGGTGGTGACAATTTGTATTCTTAATCCGTCACCACACGAAAAATTATATATACCTTTAAATAGAAATATATTTACTGCGCCTTGTGACTATTAACTTCTGGAATTAAATGAATTATCTAATTCGTTATTAGGTGAAAGTTTTCCTAGGATCTCTTGCCACCAATTATACGAGTATACATTCGATGACTGGTGGCAGCAAGCATATTAGACCGAGTCACAGTCCGGGAATATCATTATGGAGAAGAAAGCGTTGGACCAAGCCTAGGAGGATGGAATTTACGGAGACCTTATGCATCGCCGGGGAACCGAGAGAAGGCATTTCCTTGAGTATACTTGCTTGGGAACAGTCTGAAGCGTCTAGCTGCCATGCTTGCACTTAATTAGGCTATTCAACGTGACGATAGTGGTCTCCGTGTCTCATGAGGGGTGTCAGGGGTTGTTAATATGCCAACCGTAGGGGTCTCCCCGGTGTTTGGCATCTTAAAAACAGTCCATACTGACCCACTCCCTTTTTATGGCTCACCGTGTGGTTTTATACGGCTCGATTCTGATACACAACCCTATCGAAAATTCTGGTAGTGGTAACGGCTGCTGGGGATTACCACACGTTCACGCTTCGATTTCAGGTTTGCTACAAAATGTTTGCGATGAAGTAAGTGAGTCGGTAACCTGTTTTTTTTCTTTGTTAACTACCGCACAAGGAATCCTATGTCGCAGGGGCTTTTACAGACGGACATGAAACGGACCACGGAACCAGACTAAAAACAACCATTTTTCGATCACATAAAGTGTTGTTCCATGTAGGGATCGAACCCACAACACTCAACGTAGTAGGAAGCGGCAAGGTGACCGCTTAAACCACTACGCCATCCGATCAGTACATGCAGTGTATAGTTGAGTGGCGTTGGAGTCTGTGAGTGTTGTTATTAAGTAATAAAACTTACACAAGTATCCCAGGGGTCTATGAAGGCGCACGTAGTAACATAATATTTTCAAATAGTAATTACTAGTGGCGTAGTGCACATATGAAAATGTGTCTATAAACAATCCGACTGAAATCAAGTAAATACAGATAAAAAATCAAGACGTATCTTATTTTTCCAGTGTATTATGCGAGACCGCGTCTGATCTCCGTTTAAAGTGAAAATACAGTTATTTTGATGTCATCATCATCAACAGCCTCTAATATCTCTAATCACTGCTGGACATAGGCCTCTTCTTAGAAAGGAGGTTTTGGCCTACTATACCACGCTGGCCAGACGGGTTGGTATAGGGTTTATGTCAAGTTTGCCTTCTCTTTGCAGTGCTCTGGACGTGCGCAGTTTGCTCCCTTAGACGGTAAGACCCGTTATGGAGGATTGGCTCGAGAGGCGTCACGGGACCCTCTCATACCGACTGACGCAGGTGATCACTGGGAAAGGATGTTTCGGGGATCACCTGTGTCTGATCCGCAAGGAGCCAACGACTGAGTGCCACCACTGCGATGGCCAGACCGTGGACACGGCTCTCCACACGCTGGCGTAGTGCCCGGCGTGGGCTGAGAAGAGGCGAGACCTCTTGGCGGCCATCGGAGTGGGAGTTCTCTCGCTCGATAGCCTGATTGCGGCTATCGTGCGGAGCGAGAGTGCGTGGAACTCTGCCGTCTCCTTCTGCGAGCAAGTTATGCTCGCGAAGGAGACGGCGGAGCGGGACCGGGAGAGGTTTAGGACTCTCCCGGCCCGCCAGGCCCGGGAACGGGCAAGGTACCGCAGGCGACTCAGGCGCCGGAGGTCGCAGAACGACCTCCGTCCTCCATAAACGCAGGCCTGGGGGGGACAGGTGAGGCCATCTGTCACCATAGCAGAAGCAGGCCGGGGTGGCGGCGAGCGCGTTGCGAAGCGCGCTCGCTTCCAGGGAGCACAGGGAACATAGGGTTCCCACACGGGGGTGGGTCGTCTACTCGTCTGTAGATGACCCGAGGTACGTCGGGGTACCAGGGACTTCCTTTCTAGGGTATACCTGGTTCCCCGGCTATTAGTACCCGAGACGGCGTGCGGTTTTAGTCGGTTCGAGTCCGACATGCCACCAACAGGTGGTATCCGAGGGGATTTCCGCAAAAAAAAGTCTAATGACACTCCGTATTTTTAATTCGTCACCACACGGATAATATTTTGATGTAGCAACCAATAATGAAACTAGCTGTCCCCCCCCCCTGATTCAAGCATGGGGGACTCCAAAGGGTGGCAGCCATGGAGATAATAAATAACTAGAGGCAGCTAGCCGTTTGTCGCCCTGTAAGTGGAACCGTAACAGCATTAGAGAGAGAAAAATGATGGTGCGGTTTCTTTATCGTTACGGATTTTCGTTACATCGAATTTCAACAACAATTTATGTATATCATCTCTATGACGATTGTAGGAGACTGTGACAGCCGATCAGTGAAGAATGGAGAGAGAGATGCAAGACCCGCAAAATCTTTTTGAAGTGAAACGTGAAGTGAAAAAAAGTGAAAGTTCTTTAGAATCGTTGTGATTTAAAACTAGATGTAACGAAAATGCGTAACGATAAAGAAACAAATACAAATGTATAGGATTAAGTCAGCGAAAGAATGAGATAGAATACATTACACATTATTTTTAATATAATATTCTGACAGTGTGAATATTTTTATTTAATCCTAGCTAGTACCCGCGACTTCGTTCCCGTGAAATTTGAAAAACGCTGCCATTGTGGGTTCGATTCCCGGGCCGCTCAAAATTATAAAGGATTTTTGATTTAAAAGAAAGTTTCACTTCTGCTGTGTGTGAATTGCACACACACAGTTGTTTTCTCTCTCTAACGCTTTCTAGTTCTATATCATCTCTATGGTGACAACGCACTTCTGACTCTTGAGTCGCGGCTGTCAATGGGCGGTGGTAGTCACTTACCATCTGGTGAGCCGTCTGTTCGTTTTGCCCTTTCATCATCATCATCAGCCTATCGCAGTCCACTGCTGGACATAGGCCTCTCCCATTGCACGCCACTTAGATCGATTTTTGGCTTCTCGCATCCTGCTCCTGCCAGCCTTCTTGCGCAAATCGTCACTCCACCTGGCCTGTGGGCGTCCTACACTACGTTTGCCCCTTACACTTTAAAAAATCACTAAACAGGAAACTGTTAAGTCATGTGTAAATATTAAGAGGTTTTGTATGCTTTACAGCTGCAGTATTTTTTCATTGTCACTAGCATCATTGATCCACTAACTTGTCTAAAACATATAAACATATTCACCCAGGTTCCTAACATACCAGATGGTTCCACAGAAAGGAGTAGCATCTAAATCTCTAACTTTTTCCATTCTTCTACAATTTCACCCCATGGTTAAACAATACACTAAGTTCAAAAAACTAGAGTTGACTAACTAACCAAAATTCCAAAGCACGTAATCACTATCTTCCAGTTCTGTGCCCAATCTGTATCCTATAGCGAGGACGTGGACCGCGTAAGAGATGTTAAGGAAGAGTTCTATGGTATTGACGAACCAGCCACAGGTGGGATTGGCTGCGACCCTCCCGAGTTCGACCAAGACCAACACGCAGATGTAGCAGTTCCATAGCGTGTCTTCAGGAAGATTGCGGAACCAGTTCAGAAATCCTTTGTTCGTCCACCAAGGAGGATATGCTGCCTGTGTAAGATGGAACAGTTAAGGGCCCAAAACCTTCTGTCTCTATGAAGATGAGTCAAAGACCTTCGACTAGATCAAAAAATCTTTCCCATCTTACAAAAGACGGCCAAACAACTCCGGAATAGGTGACCTTAATTGACCGTGGGAGAGTCATGATCACGGGCCAGCTCGACCGGAGTCATACCACAGCCTTACAGAAGACCGGAGTTAAGTAATTCCTTCATTGCTTTTCACCGAGTGGGTGAGGTTACCGGACCCACACCCCTCTGACTTTAGGGGGAGGGACTCAAAGGGCTTCATCGCACTTGTGACTTTTCAGTTGCAGGTGTACATGGCGGCAGTAGTTACTTACCACCAGGTGACATATCCGCTCGATTGCGACCATTCCCTTTCTCTGGGAAAACTGTTGGAGCTACCTGTTACCCTAGCAGATTCCCTTCTTAGGATATATCATAGTTTAGATCTTAAGATATAATGGAACCACGTAGGTCATTTGACGGTTTTAATCGACAAATACATAATACCAATTTGTGTCTCTGGTGGCCTCATACGGCTAGAGAAGTACTAACAGAAAAGCGACTAATACTTTTGATAATATGAGCGCCAATGCAGTAACCACATGACGTTTCAGAAAAGGCTTGTATGGTTATATCTCTACCAAATTTATATTAATTTTGACCATATAAGTATATATTTTGTAAACCACCAGTATTGATAACCTGGGCAGGTTTTATGGAAATAAACAATTCTTAACATTCCTTAGAATTTACAGGTCGCAATTTTTTACTTCTCTTTAACTATACAAGCGATTAAAATATATTCTACTAGCTGACCCGCGCAACTTCGTCTGCGTCTCTCAATAGTAATAAAATTTCTCCGTTTTTGAAACATTCATCATTGGTGCTCCGCTCCTATTGGTCTTAGCGTGATGATATATAGCCTATAGCCTTCCTCGATAAATGGGCTATCTAACACTGAAAGAATTTTTCAAATCGGACCAGTAGTTCCAGAGATTAGCGCGTTCAAACAAACAAACAAACAAACTCTTCAGCTTTATAATATTAGTATAGATGTCTGTACCTCAGTGTGTCCGCTAAAGAGATTTAAGTTTAAATCACTTTTAAGGACGGCGCGAGTTCTGCCGAACGCCCTGCTGCTGCCAGAGCTCGAACTTGGCTTAGAGTCGCCCATTGTTTTACTTTTTAGTTGCTTTGGTTAAAATTTGAGCGAACTGCGTAAACTATAGCAATATTTCCTTGAATTTATATAAAATAATAATTCTGTTTAACAGAAAAAGGCGGGGGCGTCACTGTCATTTAAAATGACAACATCATAGACAATAATAGATTTGTTGTTTCTTTCTCATAGACTTTGAATAGAATTTTTAGGTAAGTTTTTTTTAAACATGCAGATGTCAGTACAGGTTGTACATTTCAAAACTACACTGACAGACATGACATTGTAATTTGTAATAAGGTTCGACCGTTTAATCCTTCTAATTCTTCTTCAACGCCTTTATCATTATGAACATGCCTTAATTGTCTATATATATACACACACAAGTACCCACAATCTACATGTAGGTAGCATTAAACTATTTTACTATTTAATTTATTGTTAACGAAATCAATCAAATCACGTTCACCATTGTGACCAGCTTAAAACTTTTTGACTGAGTACTGTTTCCCATAATTCAGGCTTCTAGTTAGGTACAAGAGACAGGACCAGTAGAATCTTAACTCTAAAATAACACATTTTGTAATTATCTAGTGCGTAACAAATTTATATATATTTTTTTCTTTTTTTAAAGGTAGCTAGGTACTAGCAACCGAAATTACTAGTATTCCTGTTAACCCCTCCCGCTTAGCTAAATTGCTTGTGTTAGGAGTGGGTAGTGTACTGGTCAGGATTTGAACCCACGACCTCTTGATCGCAAGTCCAACGCCTTAACCACTAGGCTACCGCCGCTTAATATACTATAACATGAAATAACTATTTGTACCCCTTTTAAAGGAAATTCAGAAATACTAATAATAATATATTTATCTCATCGCCGTCTATCGAAGATTAGCTACGTCATAAATACTAATACTACATCGCGCAATTAGTTAGTTCTTATATTTATAAGTATGTTCTTTTTTTCGGCCATCTGACACAACGCCATCTAGTTTCAAAATAAGCAGAGCTTGTACTATGACAGCTAGATTGACTGATAGAATACTTATATACTTATTTTTGTAAATACATACATATTATACATAGAAAACAACCAAACTCCCAAAGAAATTTTTGCAGGTCCAGGGGTCCGGGAATCGAACCCACCTACCACTGCACCACCGAGGCAATGTTGTCAAATGGTGTCTACCAGCGCATAATAAACCGAAAATAAGTTTGGCTAAAACTTATTTTCGTTAGACCCTACGCAATTTAATTATTTTTATGTATCTGATGTATGCATCATAATAATCAGGCATGCCAGAAAAGAAAAGCCATTTTTTAAATGTATTTATTTATTTCATATGAAAGCTACATAGTAGATAGGTATATCGATATCACAATTTTTATTACAGCATAAAATAACCAACCCTATTTACATTAGATATTAGCCTAGCTAAAGGAATGTCATGCCGAGCCATAACAAAAAAAAAAAGGAATGACATGTGACAATCATATGAATGTGCAGTTGCTTGAAAGAGAAAGAACATACTTTATATACCTGTCTCTCTTTTATGTTATTTGATTGCCTTCTGTAACAGACGCGCGAAAAGGATCAACTCATGATTCTAATGTTCTATCCTTCTCTGTCCCGCTGAAGATGTATTCTTTAAAGAGAGAAAATACCAAAATGTTTCTCTTTCTATGTCTACGGATAGTTAGACTGTTTTCTTGGCTTTGCTGTTCCATGTTAATATAGATATTACCGTAAGTGATGATGTACTGGAAACTGAACGCTATGACATATAATATAAGCTTGAAACCAGACAGGTCTTTAGTTACGTGTCAATAGCTGAGCTCGCTCCAGGTGCCTGCACATGAACAAGGTACTAAAGTTCATGATGACGTAGATTCCCTATGATATAGTAAAATTACCTACTAACTTAAATCACCATTGCACTAATTGACGTATATCTGAGAACATATATCTGAAACGGAGATGATGATGATCAAAAATGTCGCTGGAAAAGATTTTGCAAAAGATCATCAACAGCCTTTAATAGTCCACTGCTGGACAATACCACGCTGGCCAGACGGGTTGGTATAGGGTTTGTGTTAAGTTTTCCCTCTCTTTGCTGTTGTTCTGCGTAGTTTGCTCCCTTAGTCGGCTCTTACGACAGCCATGGGATGAATAGGGGGAGTGACACTTCGTTCGTTCACTGTTAGCCCATGAGAATCGTTATCCAAAGATTGAAAGGCCCTGAAAGAATTTTTGCTCAAAATTATCTAGAATTTAATCCGGATGAACAGTTGTCGACAGAAATTTTATGGTATCCTTCGAATAAATCCTTTTCAATTTCAATGTCTTAAGATTTGTCGCAGCAACATATATATTCTTCAAATATTCCACGTAACAGGTTTATTCCCCCATCTCCGTCCTAGAGTCTCGCCTTTAAAGGTAATTTTATAGAAATCAGTTAGATTTCGTCTTAGTGTTTTCCATGTACTCTTGGCGGAACTCTTCGTTCAACCTGGCACCACATTTTGTCCGGAACCATACAGGAGCTATCTTGATAAAAAAGTACTGCAATAAACATGCACTTTCGTTATAAAATGAACAGATCAGGGAGATGAAGTCGTCATACGAGAAAAAGAAGGAGATGATGGCAAACTACTGATGGCTATAACCTAAGATCTAACCAAAAGGATATGACATTATTTCATTAAGGAACTCCATCGATGTTTGTTACATATTATTAGTATTTTTGATAAATTACTCCAGCTAAACTAAAAACAACTAAGGTTCACGTCGTCAGTTTATTGAGTAGAAGACTAGAAGGCCAAGACCTAAAACAAAGGTCACAACCCTCAGGATTGAGGATACCAACTGAAGAAGGAGGAATATATTATTTTTTTGTCCAAAGCTAACTGGAGAATTTAAGCACTGTTTTTTGTAAAAGGCTCCTGCACTAGGAATATATCCTTTACAGACATACATGAAACGGACACAAAGAACACCAAGACTCAGAACAACAATTTGTGGATCACACAAAGTGTTTTCACATGTGGGGATCGAAACCACAACACTCAGCGCAGAGGCGAGGTGACCGCTTAAACCATTACGCCATCCGTGCTGGCAATAAATTATGTTTAATTGAAACTAACCTGTATGCCATGAAGCCAGTAACCGGTCGTATCCTGAACTCTTCCAAGTGTAGAAACGGCATATTTGGCGTAAGTAGCTGCATCAGGTACGAATAGGTTTCCATCTAGTAACCGCTTTGAGAAGGCGTTGATATTAGTTGAGACGAACATGGGGGCGAGATGCTGGATGAAGATACCCTTAGAGGAGTACTCCTCACGGATAGCGTGAGTAAAGCTGTACACGTACGACTGGAAATTTAAGATTCTTAATTAGAATATTAACCTTTAGACGACATAGTTGGTTATCGTTATCATAATTATGCAAGTATTTGTGTTCGACAGCTAATAGCGGCTATTAAACAATAGAGATTTACAATATATGGACATTCGAAAAGAGCAATTCTGCCGATATTTTTTTTTTTATGTTAGTGGGGGTAGACGAGCAGACGGGTCACCTGATGGAAAGTGACTATCGCCGCCCAAGAATATCCGTTAAGACAAAGAAAATGATGGTAATCTATTGGCTAGCTTGAAAACTTTCCTTCTTCTCAAGTTTGCCCATACACAAACAAATTGTCAATCACTTTCACATTCTCTTTTATATATTTTTTATAGAATAGGGGGCAAACAAGCAGACGGGTCGCCTCTATCTCAGGAGTCACAATCGCGTTGCCAGCCTTTGAGGAAGAAGTACGCTCTTTTCTTGAAGGTTTGAAGGTCGCATCGACAGAATGGTAGTACGAGGCCAAAAGTGTCTTGATAAGCGCACATTGGTGGACGGCCAATTATCCAAGTAGTGGAGATGATAATCTTGCTATGTGGAACGATGGCGGAAGGTTGCGGCCGGTATTAGTCCGAACAATTCCTCGGAGCACTCTCCATGATATATACGATAGAGAATATAATGTACAAGTTTTTACTCGCGGCTTCGCCGGTGTTTATGTCGATTTTATCAATAAATGTTTCTTGGATGAACAGTAGCCTATTAAAGTAGAAATATCATTCAGATCCGTTAAGCTGTTCTTGCGTGATTGAGTATAAAACATCCATACATCGTTGATTTGGCGGGATGACGTTATGGTTGGTTAGTTTCATACGTTTTATTGTTTTTTTATTGACAATGACCGCGGTATATCTCCTCTTGTCAGTTAGCTCATGTTCAAGCAAAAATTTATAGTTCCTTCTTCATTTTCATATAGAACTCCGTGATAAAGAATTAACGCGATTACGTAATAATTTGAAGTAAACACGGCAAACAAAATACCTGGTCAGGTTTACATGTGTGTGTGTGTGTGTTAAGTAAGTAAGTATATAATTATTCGTTTACATGTGTGTATTGTAAATAACTCCTTTCTTCGCTCCAAGAATACCAAATTATTATTGTTTCAAAACAATTCTGCGTTAGTAGTAATCATTCATTAAAAGCACAAGTATTTTGTTCTACTTACCAGGTATTTCGTCTACTGTGTGAACCAGGTATCTTAGAATGGCGTTACAACCTAAATGGAATTGGAACTGGACAACACTTCAAGATGACTCTGGCACTTGGCAATTAAGTTTGTGCTCTCCCCATGTTATCTTTCTTTTCACTTTACAACGTACCTTGGTAGCTGCATAAATAGTCATCAACGGCAGTGGCTGAAGCTCTGATCCTGACGACACATTGACCAAGGCTCCCCTTCCTCGTTCCACCATCCCAGGGAGGACCAGCCTGGTCATGGCGGTGACTGCCCCTACATTTACATTAATGAGCTCCCAAGACTTCGAAGGAGGGAGCTCACAGAGGGGCATCATGTACTCATAATTAATGCCGACGTTGTTTACTGGAATCATTAAAAGTGAATTGATGTGTGTTGAAGTGTTGTGGGTTCGAACCCCATCCCATACACTAGTGAACAAATTCCTCACACAATCAACAATATGCTATACAAAGTAGTTAGCAAAAAGGGAATATAAAAAGTTGTAAATATTATTAAGAAACTTCAGGAGAATTTATTAATGGTATGGATTTGTCAACAAAAATATATGAATATACATAGAATAGAGATACTCAGGTTAATAATAATAATAAAATAATAATAATATTTTTCCACATTCACACAACGCCATCTAGTCCCAAACTAAGCAGAGCTTGTACTATGGCTACTAGACAAGTGATATAAATACATATATACTTTTCTTTGTAAATATATACTTATTATACATAAAACCCAGACCAAATCAAACATTAAATGTTCATGAACACAAATGTTTAACTTGAGCGGGAATCGAACACGCGACCTTTGGAATAGCAGTCCGTTACACGAACCACTACGCCATCGAGAGAAAAAACTTCCACCAAGAGAAGGAAAACTTGAAACAAACCCTATACCAACCCGTCTGGCCAGCGTGGTATAGTAGGCCAAAACCTCCTTTCTTAGGAGAGGCCTATGTCCAGCAGTGGACTAGTAAAGGCTGTTGATGATGAACTTCGTAAAATTCGTTTGCACAAACGAACAAACAAACATCTCTCACCATAAACGCACATTTTTTCTGCGTATTACGTACCTAGTATGCCGATGGGTATATCCTTGAGTTCAGTCTCGATATGACCATATATTTCAGCTCCTTTGCTGAAGTCGGCTACTATTACTTTGGTCTTCACGCTATGCTTTTTCTCTGTAAATAAAAAGAATAAGCTTGGAGATTTAAGGTTAGTTAGCTCTTAATAAGTGACATTACTAGATTGTGATCAACTCATAGTTCCAATTCATTTATTTATTTATTTAGGTCTATTTACAGACTAAACACAAACATTCATACACATAATTGTTTCAAACTGAGTTAATTAGAAACATGCACAACATTCAAAAATTCAAAAAAATTGGAAAAAGTAATAGTTGGTAGGTGCAAGGTCTTGAAGACTGTCTGTTGCGCAGTATGGGGTCGCGCGTTGTCGTGAAGGAGCAGTGGGGACGACCGATTGACCAAAGCTGGTTGCTTGGTACTTACCTGACCTTGCACCTACCGACTATTACTTTTTCCAAAATTTAGACAACCTTTTAGTGGGTAAAAAATTCAATTCCCGAGAGGCAGTACAAAATGCCTTTGAAGAGTTTGTTGCCTCCCGTCCAGCTGATTTTTACAAGAAGGGCATCAATAAACTGCCAATGCGTTAGCAAAGATGCGTCGATTGCATGGGTGATTACTTCGAATAACAGAAATAAAAAAGTTTGAAAAAATAAGTACTTTCACTTATTGCATACAAAACGGCAATTTCATAGGTAAAGACCTATCAATTATAAAAAATAAATAATAGCAACTTAACTGTATACATAACTAAAACTTAACTAAAAACTTATGCATTTTACGAGATCAGCGGACTAGATTATATTATTAATAGTGAAATTGTACCCAATTAACATAATTAAAAACCATAAAAATCATTTTATAAAAAAAGACTTCTAAAAATGTACTACAGTATGCATATAAACAACTTATGCCAAATTAAATTAGTGTCTGATAATTTTGAGTTTTTTTTAGTTTCCCCTCACGGTTTAACCACCAGAGGGAGAGTTTATTACATTAATCTGGTACATTCTGCAATTTGGTACAGTAATATTTGTTATAATAGTTTTGTGTGTTTTGTTATAATAGTTTTGTGGTTATGTGAATCAGGGCATATGAGTATGTATTTGAATGCGTTATGTGTTATTAAATTCTTTAAGTGTGTCAACTATAAGGGTGATGTGGCCAAACCAACCAACCCGTCTGGCCAGCGTGGTATAGTAGGCCAAAACCTCCTTTCTAAGGAGAGGCCTATGTCCTGCAGTGGACTAGTAAAGGCTGTTGATGATGATGAGTCATAAAGGTGTGGGTGGCGGTTTTGTGTGTGATCTGTAAGTAATGTTAAGTTGGTCCATACGGTCTAAATTAACGTGGTAAAATTAAAATGTTTGAAATGGTCATGTCAGATATCAAGGCCAAGTCTCCTCTAGCAGTGATTGTAAGTTGCAGTTTGTCTAGGAGCTTTTGCATATTTCTAGTGTGATAGTTATGAACCGTTTTCGTACCCTATGGCAGACTATTTTACGGTAACACTTAGATGGCTCGATAAGCTAGGCAGAGCTTGTGCTATGGTAACCATACAGCTGATAAACATACGTAAATATTTCTAAATACATACCTGTAACAGACAAGTTACACACAGACACTGAACAAATGCTCTGACTTCCGACTTAGCAGTAAGGGTCACTAACTATTAAACTAACAGACCCATATATATAACATGAGGTATATATACCAGCACAACATTTTATATAACTTTCTTATTCATTCTATCATATTTGCAGACATGAATGTTTGTATCTAATACTTTTTATAAGTTGTTTTTTTTTCACTGATTACCACGACATTAAAAGAAATTATCATTGTGGTGACGGATTAAGAATACGGAGTGTCACCACCTCTATTCATCCCGTGGGTGTCGTAAGAGCCGACTAAGGGAACAAATTACGCAGGACAACAACACTGCACAGAGAAGGAAAACTTGGTACAAACCCTATTGCCGTCTGGCTAGCGTGGTATAGTAGGGTATCTCCTGTCTAAGGGGAGGCCTGTGTCTAGCAGTGGACTATTAAAGGTTGATGATGATGATGAAAAAGAAACGTAACTTTAAGAAATTTGTCATCTAATTACGTAATAATAGGAGCCATCAAGGACAATGGGCGATGTGACAATATCGAACTGTAATAATAATGCTGCATTGTTGTAGAACAATGAGCTAATATGTACCTTGACGGTCTGCACTTATTTTGTTTGTATCACATTTGTATTTTTTGACGTGACAACGTCTTATAATTCGATGGAGCCGGCTGCACGCACGAAAAAACATGACGCATGCGGCGTTACCTCGTTCTGAGGCGTTCCATTTAAGGCTTGAAGTGCAAGCGAGAGCGCGGAACGAGCGACAAAGAGGCACAATCGGCCTCCGCGTTCGGCAGCGTTCGACATCTGTCTCTCTCAAGTAGGAACTTGAGTGAGCGATGCGTCCGCGTGGACAGCTACTAATCGTATACAATAATACATTTTTGAAAAATGCAACCATTCTATCAGTATTTTCTTATGACGTTGTCACGTTTAACTATCGTCAGTAAACCAACTTTACAGACAACCGATTTTTTTTTTATTACAACACATCTACCTTGTCTTATGCGCGTGGATACGTCGCCCATCGTCCCACCATTTTTGATGAGATATTGTGTCGGAATCGAATTGACTAAAAACCCTTCATGTTTTAGACTCAGTGGGGCAGACCGCGTGTGCATTATTGAATCTAAAACATGAAGGATCCGGGATGTGCCAGTATTATTACGCCTTCTTTATTAAATTATCCATAGTAGTTTGGACATGAAATTGATTGAATAACTATCTTTTGAAAAAGTATCAGGGACTTTATACACCTAAATCTGACTATACGGATGGCATAGTAATTTAAGCAGTAACGTTTCATGAGTGTTATGTGCGCACTTTGTGTGATCCACAAACTGTTGTCCTGCATCTGAGTGTTCTTTTTGTCCGTTTCATGTATGTTTGTAATGCCCTCTACGACGCAGGATATATTCCTAGCGCGGGAGTTGTCTTTTAAAAAGGAAAAAAAGACCTAAATCATGATAAATTGTTATAATTTGTATTCTTCATCCTTTTATTTTGTAGATAGTACATTTTGGTTAAATTTTAATGGCTTACCTTGCATACAAATAATATAATTAACAATGGAAAGATTGAAATCAATTTCCAAAAACGAAGGTATTGCGCCACATACCTACCGAAATTATTCAGTCAAATTAAGAATCTCCTTCTTTTTTAAGTTTGTTCTCAGTTCTGTATCTGAATGTCTGTCTGCGGCATCATAGCACTTAAACAGATGGACGCATTTTGATTTCTTTTTTGTTGAAAGGTGAACTTGATGGAGAATATTTTAGACTAGCATTCAAGAAAGACAAAATCAATTACTTTCTGATCGTTGAAGGAATTTTGTAGAAAAATGATTTTTAAGTTGTTCTTGAATTATTTTTAACAATACTCTACAAAACCTTTGACCTTGGTTTCGGTCACCGTCGGTCAAAATGAGCCGAAGTTTTCGTTGAAGCCGAACGTTTCTAAACTACAAGAGAAACTGTAACGAATTAAATTCATAAAAAAGACTGCGTTCAAAGTAGTTTGTAGAGTAAACCTGAAAGTTAGGGTAGGCAGGTTTTTATAGGTAGATCACGACACCTTAGAGTGGATTTAGAGTAACATAACTCTTCAAACGAAGGCCACATCGGCCAAGATACGGATAAAAGTTCATTTAATTATTACTTTTAAATATCATCATCATCATCATCAGCCTATCGCAGTCCACTGTTGGACATAGTTTAAGTATAAATATAAAGTATAGTTATTTTGTATCAGCTAAGTCACTCCTGTACTGACTTTTAACCATGGCAAACGAAGACTTTCTCATTATTTAAATTATAGAAGGGAGAAAAATAAATGTGAGGCGACTTCCACATACAGTAAAACGAAAACATATTTCAGCGCCATCTAACGGACACACACTAAACTACGGAGTAACTGTTAATCCTGTATCGCGATATGAAAAGCTGTCACGCCGATTAACAATTTCCCAACATCAACCGTTCTATTTGTGTTGGAGGGACATACCCGTTCCTCTGTAAATTGATATGGGACAGAGACATAGGAACTCACCGATCTCGTTCGCCACTGCTTTTAGTTTCTCAGGGTTTCTACTGATGATGACGAGGTTGATGCCCAACCGCGCCAGCTCCATCGCGTACTGCTTGCCAATTCCATCAGTACCGCCAGTTACCACTGAAAATAACAGAATTTCTATTTATTTACTTATTAAAACTTGACGTACATTTTTATAGAAAAGCGAACTTAAAGACTAGGATCCCTTTTCCTTTTCCCTCGGATACAATCTACCGGACTCGAACCGTCTCGGGTACCAGTAGCCGGGGAACCAGGTGTACCCTAGAAAGGAAATCCCTGGTACGTACAGACGTACTTCGGGCCATCTACGGCGGGTGGATGCCCCCCTTCTGTGTGGAAACCCCCATGTTCCCTTGGTGCTCGCAGCGTGTCTCGCCACCACCCCGGCCTGCTAGGGTGACAGATGGCCTCACCTCTCACCCCCAGGCCTGCGATTATGGAGGACGGAGGTCATTCAGCGACCTCCGGCGCCTAAGCCGCCTGCGGTACCTGGCGCCTGGCGGGCCGGGAGAGTTCTAAACCTCTCCCGGTTCACCAACTCCACTACTCCCCCTATTTCATCTAGGGACGGGCACAAAAGGTCAGTAACGCACTAGTGACTAAAGTCACAAGTGCGTTTATGGTGGGCGTTCAATGTGTGGCGATCAATGATGTTACGTATACACATACAAGAGGTTCTAATTATTACCACAAAAAGCGCACGCCCGTACTAATTAATTCGAAAAACATTAATAAAATGCCTTCTGTCGCTGTACTGATTGTAACTAGCGGTCTCTTTCACTCTTAAGCTTTCCCTATGTCCTATCGCACTTGTAGCGTATGTTTCGTTCCAAAATGAATTAATAGATGGATGTATAGTGTTACAGAACAAATATTTTGTGCGTGTAATATGAAAACGTCTATCTTTCCTAAAACATCATTGGTTGGTCACTTCCACTCACCTTATATTCACACACTTCCCATCTAACTCAAAAAAATAATTCGAACCAGTATTTCCTGAGATTAAGGCGTTCCGCCTAGCAATCGAATATAGTGTTCAGCTTTATAATATTAGTATAGATTGTATTCTACAATAAAAGTATGCCACTTTAATGTTAGTCAATCTCAATCGAGAAACCATTAGTAACGAATACTAGTGAAGTTTAAAGTTCATGATCACCGACGTAGAAAGTCAGTGACCTTGTCAAGACCGTTTAATTGCGCAAACACGTTTAGTTACGTATACTGCTCCATAGAGACTCACTGCTGTGCGGATCGTGTCATTTTTTTTTAAATTTAACATGTGTTTAAAAAGGTTTTATGGAAAATAAAAAAAACCGGTCAGGTATGAGTCGAACTTGTGCGCCGAGGGTAAAAGTTATCTTGATTTGCATTTTTTTTTATTTTGGAATTATTCCTTTATTTATGTTGTAAGGCGTTCCTTTTTGCCAAATTTCGTGATTCTAGGTCAAAATTGACAATTCTAGGTCAACCGGGAGTACCCTAAAGGTTTTGGGTCGACAACCTATATGGTAGTTCCCGTTGACCTAGAATTGTCAATTTTGGTTAAAAGCAAGGTCTTACAGCACAAGTAAAGAAAAAATTCTGAAAATAAAAAAAGTTGAAAATTAAGGTAAATTTTGGTACTTACAAGTTTTCGCGAAAATCGAAATTTGCTCAAATATTTTTATCGTGTTGACTCAGGACCTTGATTTTTATATACCTAATAGGGACCATAGACCTCAGTATCTGGTATAAATTTCAACTTGCTAGGTCTACCCGTTCCTGAGAAAGTCGGTGGTGACACACGGACAGACAAACAGACGGACAAGAAAGTGATCTTATAAGGGTTCCTTTTTTTACCTTCAAAATATAAATGGTTGATCATTTTTAATTACTTCGGTATCAAAAGTTAATGTTTTATATTTTTAAACGTTTTGAAGAGTAAACAAATTAATATCTATTTTTCAGATATGCTAAAAAAGCTATTATCTATACTAATATTATAAAGCTGAAGAGTTTGTTTGTTTGTTTGTTTGAACGCGTTAATCTCAGGAACTACTGGTCCGATTTGAAAAATTCTTTCAGTGTTAGCTAGCCCATTTATCGAGGAAGGCTATAGGCTATATATCATCACGCTAAGACCAATAGGAGAGGAGCACCAATGAAGAATGTTTCAAAAACGGAGAAAATTTATTACTATTGAGAGACGCAGACGAAGTTGCGCGGGTCAACTAGTAGTTTATATTGACGTCATAAAGCTTTGCAAAGACCACTGTCTTTGTTATGTCTGTCGTTGTCTCTTTGTTATGTTTTGAAAAGGTGTTATTCGTAACTTAAATCATACATACCTTTGAATTTTCTATTACGAAAAGTCGTAAGTTGAGAATCCCCTAAATCCCCGTCCGTGAGATTAAAATTAATGTTGACGAAATACGCCTCTTTTTGAAAATTACACGCAACATCGTTCACGTGGAATTTAAAAAGCGCTACCTTAGTGGTGTAGTAGGTCTGCAGTCCATGAGACCGCAGACCTACTACACCACTAAGGTAGGTCCTCGACTGCAGTCCATGAGACCTCGGGTTAGATTCCCGGACCGGACAAAGTCGTATAGGGTTTTTCTGAGAGTAAAAATAGCCTAAGTTACTCCTTATATAGACAGCTACCTGGTAGTAAAATATTATCAAAATCAGTAGACCCGTTCTGAAGATTACCCGGCACAGACAAAACGACGGACAAAAAATAATTAGACTGGTTTTTAGACATACGTATTGTGTAAATAACCGTGTGAGCACGAAAAAACCTATTATATTGACATTACAAACAGACAGTTTAATTTTATAAATTTGTAAATATATAGATACGTTGTTTTGTAAATACACACATTATATGCATTGAAATTTTGAACCATGGGAAAGCCATGCTTCAACTCAAAGGCTCGACAGGAGTGAAACCAGGGCCTCACAAAAAACCGGTGTTAGGCAATTTATTCCTTCCTTTTCACTGAGTCAGCGAGGTTAACGTAGCCCCAAACTAACCATACTACTCCTCCTTGACTGCATGGATAGCGTAGTGGTTTAAGCGGTCACCACGCCGTTTACTACTATGCTGAGAGTTGTCTGTTCGATCCCCACATGGGACGACACTTTGTGTGATCCACAAATTGTTATTCTGAGCCGCGGTGTTCTTTGTGTTCGTTTCATGTATGTCCTCCGCGACACAGAATATATTCGGAGTTGTTGTCTATAAAACAACTAAATTGGGGCAAAGCACTTGAGACACTTGAGATGCAGGAGTTCGCGAGCGGCGATAGTCACTTACCATCAGCTGACTAGCTTTCTCGGTTACCCTCCTATACCATAGAAAACCGCAAAAAAAAATCCTACAAATATTGTCACTGAACGGGAATCATACTCACTATAATCAGCGTCGCAGTGGCGTACATAACTCAAAACCTCAAACATATTTATTACTAGGTTTTGAAAAAAATATTAAAAAATATCCTAAAGACATAGGCTATTTTTTAATATTTTTCCTTAAGAATTAAAGTATCTTCATAAAAAAAAAAAAAATTATTATTTCGCCATACAAACTTCCACCCCCTTTTTCACCACGATAAAGGATGATTTCTGGAATAAAACTACCCTATGTCCTTTCCCGGGACTCGGACCATCTCTATACCAAATTTTATCTAAATCCGTTCACTGGTTTAAACGTGAAGAGGTAACAGACAGACAAACACACTTTCGCATTAATAATACTCGTATTAGTATAGATTTTCAAACCGTGCAATTTTGCAAGCTCACCGCAGTTATGTAGTATCATGCCTTCAATCAACCTTGCGGTTATACAACGTTACCAAAATGCCATGCAATGCAATATCTATTGCAACAGAGGCGTCTGATTACAGTGAATGTGGCGTCCAAGGTTGAGTGATCAACCATATTCGAAAATCGTTTTTAAATTAACTCTTGTTCTATTACGACCTTCAGAAAGCTGAGCAGCTTTAACTCACAGTTTCTTTTTATTTTTACCTTGAAAATGAAAAATTTATATACAGCAGTCCTCTTCGTAGGGAAATTTACAAAAAATCTAGTCTTCGTGGGTGTTTACAACATAAAAAGCAAAAACTGCCAAAATTTCAAGATTGTAGCCCTAGCGGTTTAAGGCTCTGCTAAACGGTTGGGGCTACAAACTTGTTGGCTTAGTTAGTCAGTCCAGGGCTAGTAATTTTATACCTTTTTTTTTTCCTTGCGGAAATCCCCTCGGATACCACCTATCGGTGGCATGTCGGACTCGAACCGACTAAAGTAATTTTATACCCAAAGATGACGCTTGAATTTTGTTCTACGTGTAGTTTAGTTTTATTTCGGGTAACTAGTTCCTTCTAGTTCCTCTTGCGTTTTTGGTCAGATCTTCGTTCGGAAGGGCTGTGGCGTGATGTCATGTTGATGATGTTTCTATTACTTATTTTTTGGGAGCTAGTTAAACAATAAAGGAGCCATGCCGAGGACATTTTCATCAAAAATTCTCTATCTAATACAAAAAGAATTATTGAAATCGGATAGAAGTTACAGAGCTCGTATTATGAAAGCCAGTTTCACTGGCTTATATACTTTACTAGCTGACCCTGCAAACGTTGTTTTGCTATTTACATTATTTAAAAATTTTTTTTTTGAATTTCTTAAAATCCGTTCTTAGCTGACCTCTACTCGGTGAAAAGAATATTCCTACCAAATTTCAAGTCTTTAGCGCTAATGGTTCCAGAGATATCGTGATGAGTGACTATATACGTGGAAATCTCTCATATATATATTTAGATTTTGTAAACATATACATATTATACATAGAAAACACCCAAAATCCGAAACAAATATTTGCAAACATCTGGTCGGGCCCTTGAATCGAACCCGAGACCTTAGCACAGCAGTCGCTTACGCTACCACTGCACCACAGAGGCAGTAATGTCGAGGCAGTCGACAGTGTTTATGGTGTTTAACTTAATAATATATCTCACACATGATCTACGATCTTCGAACTTTCAAGAAAAAAGTGTAGGTACTCCTGAACCAAAGTGAACCGTCTGCTCGTTTGTTTCCTCTTCCATAAAAAAAAACCGGTCAGGTACGAGTCGAACTCGTGCGCCGAGGGTTCCGTGATTTTCGAGAAAACTTGAAAATACCAAAATTTATCTTAATTTTGAACTTTTTAATTTTTTGGAATTATTCCTTTATTTGTGCTGTAAGACGTTTCTTTTGCCAAATTTCGTAATTCTAGGTCAACGGGAACTACCATATAGGTTTTCAACCCAAAACCTATAGGGTACTTCCCCTACTTGTCACTTTTGGTTAAAAGCAAGGTACAAGTTTTCGCGAAAATCGAAATTTGCCCATATTTTTTATCGTGTTGACTCAAGACCTTGATTTTTATACACCATAGGCCTCAGTATCTGCTATAAATTTCGACTTGATAGGTTTACCCGTTCCTGAGAAAATTGGAGATGACACACGGACAGACGGACAGGCGGACAAGAAAGTGATCTTATAAGGGTTACTTTTTTACCTTTTGAGGTACGGAACCGTAAAAAGTGCAAAATTCGTTTTCTCAAATTGAAGAAATAGTGTCCAAAAAAGAAGAAAGGACAGCAAATAGCATGGCGTTATACCATTTTCAGACTTTTGACATATCAACACACAACGAAGGAATAAAATAAAGACGGGTGAGTACACCATTTAACTCAAAAACGGCTCTACCGATTTTTTATGGTATTTGTTATTTTGGCTTTATCTCCATCCAGAATTGCAGATAAAAATTAAATAATTTTAAAAATGAAAAAAAAAATCATTTTCTCGTACATTGTATATGAAACCTAACAAAACACGGGTAAAGAGCAGAGCTGTGACTAACAAAAATAGAATTTTTCTAATCGGTTTATGAATGACGGAGTTATGAAGAAAACATTTTAAAAAAAATCAAACGAATTCAAAACCTCCTCCGTTTGAGACTTTGGAGTCGGTTAAAAACGAAGGCGAAACTGTTGAGAAGTACTAGTTTTTAGCCATCTATAAATTACGTCACACGAAGTTCAAGGTTTTTTGATAAGACCCTCTTCCTAGCCTAGCGTCCTAGCAGTTCCGATATTAGTTTCATTTCTATTTAGTTTAATTTTAAATAAAATCAACATTGATCAAACATTTGACAAAATTGACTTAACAACAGCCACTGAATTATTACTAACTGATAATAATTCTCGCGTTTCAATACTTAGATTTATCAGAGGGCTGAGTGCCTCGACGGCGAGCGCGTTTGGCGTTGTGATTGGTGGAGATTTCAGCGCGGAAAAACGTAGCGTCGAACGTAGTCACCGTGACGAGGGAGTTGATTTGAAATAAACTCGCACTTGGCCTCAGGTGTTGAAATGGATCGTCACGAAACTTCGACCTCTCCTACCCCTTGTCACACAATATTACACCTCGTCCATCCCTCCCCTTGAGGTGTGAAGTAATTAATGCATTTAATCAAATTTGCAATGTGCCGAAATTTAAAACTATTTCAAGTTCATGACCATACATTTATGTTACAAATAATTTAACAATTTAGAAATATGCAACAGTAAGTATTTCCAAATTTAATCATAAACTATTTAAAGCTAAAAGTATAATATAAATAGGTAAAGAACAGTAGAAAAGTTCATTGACCGTAGTCACATGTTTGGTCCAATTTGATCTTACCCTCTAAGGAGTGTGTTTAAGAGGATGTCGAGTGACCAAGGAGAATGGAAGAAGAATACTTATTGCACCGACCCCAAAATAAATTTGGGGAAAGAGTAAGAAGAAGTAAGCTTGACTGCACGGATGGGGTATTGGTTTAAGCGGTCACCGCGTGTTGCAGCTTTAATCCCCACATGGGACACTACTTACTTACTTTTACGTACTTTTTGTGATCTACAGTCTTGTCTAGATGTTCTTTGTGTACGTTTCATGAATGTTTGTAAAATCCCCCGCGACACTGGATAATATATTCCTAGTGCAGGAGTTGTATTAAAGAAAAAGTTTATTTGTCAGAAAATCTGATCAAAGCGCCACATATAACATCATTAATTGAAAGAATGTAATAATAATATTGTAATTGTAACATCATAAATAATTATTTCAGTTGACAAATGGTTCCAACAGCAGACAATATACAGTTATAACGAATGCTATTTTATTATGCAAGCAAAACAAATCAATTGCTGTATATTTTCGTATATGTATGTAAATTTCATACTGGATTATTTCAAAAACTTGACAATATATGTTGCAAAAACATTTCTATATTTAAAATCTGTATTTGAGAGTAAGTAACTTTGAGGTTCGTGGGTAGATTAAAACCATGAATACCTTTGAGAGTTTCTATGGTAAATTGACAGCAATTTAAACATCTTGACGGGCCTAATAATTGGTCTAGTGGTTAGTGACCTGACTGCTAAGCCGGAGCTTGTGGGTTCAATACTCCGCACAAATATTGTCTAATGAGCACGATAATTTTTTCTGCGTGCGCGTGTAGGTTATATATATATATATATATATAAGAGATTTCCACGTATACAGTCACTCATCACGATATCTCTGGAACCATTAGAGCTAAAGACTTGAAATTTGGTAGGAATAATTTTTTCACCGAGTAGAGGTCAGCTAAGAACGGATTTTAAGAACTTCAAAAAATAATAATTAAATAATGTAAATAGCAAAACAACGTTTGCAGGGTCAGCTAGTCTATAATATGTATGTATTTAGAAAAATGAACAATTTGGTTACCATAGTACAGCTTCTGGCTAGTTTGGGGTCAGACTGCCGTGTGTGAGATGTGTGAAGTTATTATTATCTTAAAGTTGCTAATCAATGTTATTATAAGTCTATAGTGACCAACGTCTATTGTGGTAATGTTTACCTTGATCTCCATACAGAAGACCGAAAGTCTAGTCAACGATTGATATTTGTTTGAAGACAAATAAAACGTACTTGATAAATCAATCAATTTTCACCGGACACATTGGTAATTATGAGATTCTAGTACAGATTAGATTATCGACTAACTTTTAAACTATTGGGTTCCGTAAAATATCATTATGTTGACAGGAATGTTTGCGCTCATGATAGGTTAACCTGTGACCACCGCCAGAGCAACCTCAAAACTTTTACTACGAGAGTAAAAGTTCGGTCACAATTTAGTTCCGATCAACTCTCGATCTCGCAACTGTCATAAAAAGTATTTTTAACCGACTTCAAAAAGGAGGAGGTTCTCAATTCGATTGGTATATTTTTTTTTTATGTATGTACACCGATTACTCTGAGATTTATGATCCGATTTACGTGATTCTTCTTTAGTTTGATGCGGAATAGTTGCCATTTGGTCCCATAAAAATTTTACATAGTTAGGCCCAGTAGTTTTCATTTTATGAACATTTTTAATTAATATTATT